CACACGTGAACGTCCGATCGTCAAGACTTTGCTTGGAACTTGTGAGTTATGCAATATTTTCCCAGTATGATTTCAAATTCGAGAAATCGACGGGTATCGGGAAATCGAACGCTATGAAGTCATCCCGGTACACGCTGCAAATCTTCTCAACAATTTCAGGCGGCACGTGTGTGAAGTACTTTAGCAAGCGCGTCGTGTTTGAGCTGCCAGTAAAGGGCTTGGGAAAATCGAACTCCACATGACCTTTGACCCCGAGTCTGTCGACGAGGTAGTCCGTGTCATAAGGCAAGGTCTCCAGTTTGCCGATGAAGTCGTAACGCACCAGGCAGGGCCTGATGGACGCCCTGAACACCGGGGCCCAGTGCGGGTCACCGTTCCGGCCCTTCACGGAGGCAATGTAGGCCAGAAACTCGGCAAAAGTAAGGTCCGGCTGCGTCAGGTCCGCCGGCCTCAGGCGCCGGACCCTCCGGACGATACTGTTTGCCATGTTGACGTAAACGCGGGTGGGCAGTTTGACGAACTTGTCCCTGAACGCAGACAGCAGACGCACTAACGGGTTGCGCACGAAAAGAACCTTCGTGTAGCGCTTGAGGGCGTGCTTGATAGCCCCCTCCGAGCGGTTGTGCAGTAACTGGAGCGCCCGCCATTTTGATTGATACTCCTCGCCACTTATGGCGTGCAGGTCTCTCATGAACTTCTTCAAGTTGGTTGAGCCGGCCTTCCGAATGATGGTCACCGTCAGGCGCGGTTCTATGGGGGGGGGGGGGGGGGGCCTGGGGGGGGGGGGCTTAACCCCCAAAAAATTTTGTCTAGCACCCCCCCCCAATAAATTCCGTAAAAAGATTTTGCTTTAGCAAAAAGAAGGATTGTGATGTACATGCGAAAGGACTCCCCCTAAAGAAATAGTCCTGACAAGGGTGCATTTGTAGTTAATATACTGTTAATGATTTTAGGATTTTATTGGCGCTCCCCATTGAAAATATGCATTTGTAGTTAATATAGTGCCCCCCCCCCCCCCCCCCCCCCCCCCCCCACCTATTGATTTTCGGAGGCCTAAGTGTCTGGAGAAAATTACCGGTCTACATTTCAGCACGCCTCGCTGAAAAAATTCTGGATCCACCCTGCTAGCCTCCCCCCCAAAAAAAAATATTGGTTCTAGAACCGCGCCTGGTCACCGTCAAGTTGTAGTCGCCGTTCACGTACAAGAGACGTAAGGTCTGTACCCGAAGGGGACGCGGAGGTCAAAGGGCGGAGTGTGGTAGATTTCCCGGCACACTCTGCGGAGGTGTTTCTGGCGTTGTTGTTGGACAGCCTCTGTCTCGATCTTCGAAAAAATGTACGGTTTCTCCTTTGCTCCGGCTGTGGCATTGAGGCATTTGCAGGGTATGACATCGCCGTGTCGACCGCGGATCTTGGCGCAGGAACCGAGCCCCTTGCGTGGCTGAGATGGAGCTTCGCGTCCCATAAGCATCGGTCTTCTTTGTATCTGAGGGTCGCTCTGAAATTCAAACAAATTTGATTATTGTTATAGTAACGAGTACGTCTACGTAGCCCTGACCCCTAGGCCATTTTTTTAAGTCCATCCTCAACCCTCCAAAATGTTGTACTTATGTTAAAATGAAGGATGCCCAGCGCCTCAATCCTTCAAAATCGTCAGACAGTCCTGCCTCTTAAAATGCATTCATCCTCAATCCTCAAAAATCCTCCTCTTCTTCAACGCCATTCAACCTCAATCGTCCAAAATCTTCATGTTTCTCAAACACCAAAATCCTTGATAAATCCTCCAAAAACGCCATGAGGATTTTTGGATTGAGGAGGGTCAGGGAATCAGTGTTTGCATGCTGCTTAAAATATTACACAATCGTAAGTTAACCTTCAAGATTAATACACCAGCTGGATCAACACCAGCTATTTATAAACGACGTCAGGATACCGTGGACGTTGAAAGGCAGTGCCAGACTACGGTACAAACCGAGGTTTAAACCATCTTGATTGGACCATTATGCCCCCGTGATGTAATTGCTCGAATGCGCATGCTCTATGCCCTCTTTTTCCCAAACGATAAACTGTGGTGCACCTTTTTTTCAGACAAGTTATACATATACAACAGAGGCTATTTTTCTGAACAAAAACACCCTCAAGTATTTATTAAGGTTTATTATAAAACCCTCCTATGCAAACATACATTCTGTGCAAAGTTGTCCTTTCATTCAAAATTAGTCAAGTGACTGTTTTAACCATTTTAGCTCCTAGCTTACATGTACATAAAGATTGACAAGCTGTGACTGTTTATAACCTAATACGGCTATGCTTTGACTGTAGGCGATTGATAAGCCAGCTTTGCCTACCACATGCCTGCTTATCAATTTGACTAGTCACGGTGCTTGCTTGATATGATCTGACTGTTGGTGACTAGCCTGTGAAAGGCATATGGTAGGGAAGAGGATTTTTTTTGACTGTCTGTGACCGTTCAGACAGCTGGAGTGTTAAGGTTACATAACAGGCCTTTACCTTATTCTCTGCATTTGCAGCTGGGACATTTGGAATGTCGGTGTCCTGTGTGTTGTTCAGATCTGTGTTCAGTTCGTGTCTTGTGTCATCGCCTGACAATGTGGATTTCTAGATGACTTGCAGCACCGGCATATTCCTCAGACCTTTTTGAGGAACAAAAAAAGAGAAAACCTCAACTTTGTTTTGAGCAGTTTTGTCAATGAGGTAACACCGGTGCCATTATTTTGCTGCCGGAGTTGGGGAGACAAGCACACTTACCCGAATGGAAGGCACCGAAGATTTTTTTTTTCATGTCTGTCGGCACTCGCAAAATCAAAAAGTGCATGTGTGCGGGGGGGGGGGAGGAGGGCTGGAGACCAACTGAATATTGGAGGCGCTGTTGGAAGATGACGATCTTATCGTGTGGCCATTATTGGACAATAGGAGGCGTTCTTCTTCCGGTACATAAATGGCGATTTTACCAACAAGATAGGTGTAATATACACCGTGACAACTTATATAGTGGGCGCATTTTGGGAATGTTTCACTGAAGTTAAACAAATATATTTGTTGGCAGCCAAAGCCAACATTGATGATGAGTACCTCAAGGGCTTGTCCCAGAAAATTGAATCATCATGGAAGGAATTGGCTAAACACCTAGGATATGAAGAAGCGGGATTATTAGCAGACATCCAAACCACCAACGAAAGCAGCACTGGAAAACGATTAAATGAGTGTCAAGCATAGGCAAAGGGGCAATTTGATAACACCTTAAAAGCTGCCACCGCTGCAATGCTATCACATATTTTCCAACTCTTGAGGTACCTTGCCAAAAATCGCTATGACGATTATTCCCCTCATTTGATATAGTGAAAATGTACACTTTCTTTGAAGATCTCTTTATGCAAGTCTGAAGAATTGGACCGATTTTGTCATTCGCCGGCATAACTATGTCTTGTTTGCATTTTTTCAAGTGAGTTGTGAGACACAAGGGGTAGAGTCCCGTAGGCCCATTAAAATGTAATATCTATAGAAATTTAATATAAGATGCACGAATACACCTGAACATATTCTTTTTTTAATTCATAGATACATGCAGAAAGGGGTCCCCGGAAGAGCTCGTCGAGTAGGGATCCCCTAGCTTTAACGCACGTACAAACTGTTAAGTAATTTGTAAAATGCACATAGGACTAGCATAAATAAGTTTATCCAACTTAATATTCTAGTCCGACAATTTGGGATTCTTAATCCTGTGTACGGGAATCCCACAATTTAAGAAACTTAAAACATGCAACACAAGAAAGTAGCACAACAACCAGTCCAACAACCCTTCGGTACTACATCAATGAGTCAAACGAAACAGGTACCCAGTCTGTATTTCCACACATCTCTCCATAGTCTGCCACCAAACTATTGAAGAGGTCAGTCTTGTACCTTAATTTCGGGCTTCAAATCAAGTTGCCTTCACTCTCAGCTCAGGTGCAAACCATTGTAAAATTGAACTGATACTTCAAACCGAAGTACTGAGCATGTCTTTGCCTCATGTGAAAATGTTGGAGAATTTGTATCTGCTGAAGAGCGAGTCATGTAAGTTGGTCCGAATTTGTTTTGCATTTTCCCTGCACTCAACTTTCGGTCCCAGATTCTGGATACCACATCAATCAAATTGAAAAAAAAAACGGAAAAAAATGTTGCAACCTGACGCCACTTCCACGATTGTGTACAAAGTCTATGGAGAGTCAAGAAAATACAATTTTCAAAGTATTTCCTAACAAAATTAGAAATATTTCTCAGTTCCAGATTCATGTCTTATCATCATTTTTGCATTGAATGACTTTCATTGAAATGATTTATGTAGAAAAAACGGCGTCAGGTTGCAACATTTTCTTTTAAACCAAAACAAATACATAGTATAGTATAGACCTAACCCATTAAGAAGTTCAATCTAATTAAGTGCAAGCTATTTGACAATAAATTTAATTCAACTTTATAATATTTAAATACATGTAACAACAAACTACGAGAATGATTTTTAAGGGAAATACATAATGAATTCCGTTACCTTATAACGTAACAGCTGCTTGTGAGTCGAGTACGGACCAATATTATGTACCCCTAGCTGAGGAGTTGACCACAACGCGTCCAGACGCCGATTGTTGAGCAATATACATGTACTGTATATACCGTACCTTCTTGTGTATCGAATGAACTACATTTGTTCAGTTGTGTGATAACCACACTGCAGCTATCGAGGGCCTACGGTTCAGAACCTCCCGAGTCATGTCATCCCGAGTTCTGTTCGCGCATTATGGCACATATATGGTTTTACAGGGAAGGACCTTGCTCTTTCATTAACAAAAGCCCGTGTTGAGTGACGACAGCGGCTGACGGAACGCCCATTGTACATCTGTGAACTGCTGTTGTAATCCGTCCATTTTAGTCATGCATGACTAGTCCCCAACCCCATCTTCATTGAACAAGCTTCGCAAATGAAGGGATTGCTTTGCGGGGCTGGGGATGGTTTGAGTCATTGTGGTCATGCATTAATCCGCAAAAGGATATGTGACTTGTTGTCTCGTTGGGACGTTAGAGCTTGACCATATGGCCCACCGGCAACGCTAGGCCGCCTTCTTGACATCTTCAACCAAGGAGATACATGTAAATCAGTTTTATGTACATGCACCGTATCTCCTCATTCTTTTACAGGTTGCTCATTGCCAATGGACTGATACCACCAGAGTAAAGACTAGACCGTTAGCCTCTACCCGGCGTTTGGAAGGTAAATATCCGGCACTTAAGCATGTTTGCTCAACCATTATGTGCTGTAAATCCTACGGTAACAAACAATTCTCGCTTGGAACATAGAGCAAGGAGCAGAACTTATGATGTGAAGATGAAACCGAAATGTTTCCATTTCCGTTTAAATAAATACCGAAATCTGGTTTCAAGATAATATAAAGAAGGTTAGAGCGAAATAGGGAAAGAAAATATTTTGTGAGCCAAAGTTAACGATACATACAATGTAGGCCTATGTGCACAAAGAGAGCACATGTACTTTCCATTGTTTGTTTGGGAGTTGGGGGTTTTTTTTGGGGGGGGGTGGGGGGGGGCTATACTGAGGGTGTCGTACATAGTCTTATACACAGAAGTTTAACCTTCCCCATGTTTTTGGACAAGTGCATGACATGCGTGCCTTCATTGATTTTTCAAGTCGCATGCTGACCACGAATAGGCCTACAATAGTCATATTATTGATTTCGTTGGCGGTTAACCGATGTACAGTTTCTGTGTAGTCTTTATTCAGCAATAATGTATGTCCGTATAGTGTAACGGGACTAAAGATTTGGTGGACTGGAAAAGAGAGAAAGATTCCCATATCATGCCTTCACTAATTTTTCCCTTCAGTTACCTATGAGCCATCAGGAAGTGATGTCATAAAAGGTCAAATTTAGCAGAGAAAATATTGAAGTATTTACTGAGAAAACTGACATTTTCAAACCAGTCTCGTACGGTTTGTGCACAGGGTGAGAAGTGATGGCATATGGGAATCTTTCCGAAATGAGTTAAGTCGTACCCGAATCAACTCTTGCCCCAAAATTTACACCCCAGTCAAGCCGTACCCGAGTCAAGTCGTACCCGAGTCAAAAATCTGAGAAACGGAAGATGAGGGATTTTGTCGGGCCTGCGCACGTCTGCGCAACATGAATGTGCAGCCATAATAGTTCACCTAAAAACTAGTTAGTGGGAAAAATATCGGTCCTCATCCCTAACCCCCTAGGCCCTTTTTGCTTAGAACCATCCTCAATCCTCCAAAATCCTCCAAAATTTTGCAACTCCGCCTAATTTTTTCAAAATTGTCAGACAGTCCTGCCTCAAAATGCATTCATCGTCAATCCTCCAAATCCTCCTCATCCCAAAAGTTTGCACTCGTGTTTAAATGAAGGATAACCAACACCAAATCCTTCAAAATCATCAGACAGTCCTGCCTCAAAATGCATTCATCCTCAATCCTCCAAAATCCTCTTGTGCTTCATTCACCATTCATCCTCAATCCTCCAGAATCCTCATTTGATTCAATCACCATTCATCCTCAATCCTCCCGAATCCTCATATGCTTCAATCACCATTCATCCTCAATCCTCCAGAATCCTCATTTGATTCAATCACCATTCATCTTCAATCCTCTAGAATCCTCCAAAACCGCCAGGAGGAATTCGGAGGAGTGAGGTGGGTTAGGGTTGGACTAATGTTTGCAAAAATTAGTCCGATATTACGGGGCCGTGTCGCAAGAATTATGAGGCCTCAGATTTATGAGGCATTGATCTTAAGGATTCGGCCCCATAGCTCCGACGCCTTATATGTCCGACGCCTCGTAATTCCGACAACGGACAAGCGGTGTTTCGGACTTATGAGGCGACGGACTTATGAGGCGTCGGTCTTATGGGCTTTTTTTTTTGGTTGTGGGATGAGATTTTGTCGGACTTATAAGGTGTCGGACCTGAAACCCGATATTACACAATCCAGGTCCTCTAACCAGCTCCAATAATTTAATACAAATAATCCATTAACATGCATTCATAAAATAGCTTTTGATTTTCCCATTTTCTGTTTGATAAAGACACCCAACTTTATCTGTCGAACCGACATCGGTCCAGAATGCGGCTGGGAATCAAACGAGACCTGAAGCGTCTCGTGTTTCTTCTGATACTCGGGGCTGCAGCCTCAGTTTCCTTCATCGCCCTGTCGCCCGCGGTGAAGAGACGGCATGATGAACCCGGTAAGCGGTGTTTTTATCTGCAGGTAGCAGACCAGTAAATAAACTTCCATAGACCCCAATGGTAAATGCTCCCACTTCAAAAATTCGGGAAAAATACTCACAACTCTCCAAGGTGTTCGAGACACACATCAAATTAAAGCTTATTTCATCATCTTTCATTTTCTTTTCAATTTTTGGGGGGTCAACTGATGACTTTTAGGAGAAATTTCCATCTGAAGATGATCACCCCTGAAAATAGTCCTGAAGCCCATCGCCATTTTGAAAAACGATGCCTACACTCCATTGCAAAGTAGAGCGCTTTTAGGGTCCAAATTACATCAAAATTACACAGAACTGCAAGCTCCAAGTCCTGTGCACGGTTTCCACCCATATTTTTTACAAACCCTCAAGTTCATGGCCCACAGCATGCTCAAATGCCGAAGATTTTGAGGGCATGCAAATCGTGATTTGGCCGGCGCAGGCAATTTCGGACCGATTTACTGGTCTGCACCCTGCAGCACACATCGTCGATTGGTACTGATTATTCAGCTAGTTCGATGTTTATTCACAAGAAAATAACAAGACGTCTCACTATTGCTATCGCTCAGTCCATGCATGTACATTAAAAGCATTTCAAGGAACGGCTTTCGTCAAACTGCAGTGGTCTATTGTATTGTGGAGTGAACCATAAATCATAGATTTGTGGTTCGCGCCTATGCCTGTTTTCATCAATTTTTTTGTGGGATAAGTTTAATTGAAGGAAAAACACTACGAGAACTTAAGTGTCTTCGATCCACACAGAGTGATAAATATTCATGTTAGGGTGCGTGATGAGATTTGTTAAAATAATATGTATGCTACAGAAAAAAAACAATACACAGCCGGTGGCAAATTGCAGGCTGAAGACCCAGTACAGTCAGTTATTATTATAGTTGTTTAATTACTTTTTTGGGGGGGGGGGGGGGGGCAGGGGCACCGTTACATTTAATAATAATGCCGGAGTCTTGTGGACTCGATCCGTGCGCCAACAAAAGAGGGCGCGTGTACAACACGTTACTATGTCCACAGACGTCTAATAAAACATAGGCACGACATTTTGCCATCCCGTCTGTGAACGAAATGCTGCCCGGAAAATGCCTGCAATGTAGTTTGGCCCAAAATATGAGCTCCTTTTCTAAGCTACGTTTTGTCTCCCTAGATCTGGATGATAATGATGTGATCAGAAAGGAGAGACACCAATCGCTGAACGACCCTCAATCTGACCACGCCCTCGTCTTAACTGGCATCGCAAGCCAGCAGAAGTTTTCCGCGAAAAATGAGGTACGTTTGAAAGTATTATGACGTGCGCGCGGCCATGCACATGTCGAGAGCTCCTCTGGTTTTGGGAATTATTCCCAAAATGCACACAACAAGAAATCACTCATGTACATTTCAAGTTACGAAACTCTAAAAACAAACACAGTTTTAATGTTCTTTCCACGGATTACAAAAAAAAAGAATGTGCGTTCTTACAGCAAAAAGAAAACAATTCACACACATCCCTATAATGATTTGTTTTCGTTCTGCTGAAAGAACGCTAACCTTGTGATCCATGGACAGAACTTTAAAACAGCGGTTGTGTTAATATCGTAACTTGACAAGTACCCTAATGATTTGAATGGTACTTGTGCTAAAGAAAGCTTACGAATTTGGCTTTCATATCCTTGATTTTGAAAATGCTACATACAGAACTTAAAAAAAAAAAAAAAATGGTCCCGACATTTGGGCTTCTGGCAAGCTAGTCTTTCTTTGGTGGTGAACTGTGTATTACACAATGACAACGGGTTTTTTTATTCCGCAAACCTTCTATAAATAGAGTTTTAAAGGCAAACTGCATCTAATGTTAGATTTATTCCATGATTAGTGTTTAGTAAAATATGTTTGCAATTATTTCAGAGCGAGGTTGAATTGAATGTAAGCTCAAGCGTAGACCGTGACCATGCTGTACAGAAACCTCGTACGCCTGTTGGGCCCAAGTCTCGCGCAATCCCGCATCGTCCACCGCAACCGCGAGAACAGAAGCAATGGGACTATCTGCAGGCGAGACCCGACGTCGCCAAACCACGCGTTTACTCGAGGAACGAGACCGCGGCTGTCCAAACACAGCGCCAGGCGCACATGGCACAAGTCTGCCGCGACGTCTTCAAAATCCCACCGCTGGACCTGGGCAGTCCATGGGAGCCGAAAACGTACAAACGGATCCTCGGCAACACCTACGTGAATGACGACTTCAATTTGACGGTGACGATTATCCGTAAGGTCGGTTCGTCCAACTGGAGGCGATTCATGACCAGTTTGTTCGACATCAGCAGCAAGGGGTTCAAGGGGAGATGGACAGCGCTGAAGCCGCTCGGGCAGCGCACCGCCGACGGCATCAGGCGGGAACTACAGCGCAACACGAAGGTCCTGTTCGTCCGCAACCCCTTGGTGCGTCTCCTGTCGGGCTTCCGGGATAAGTTCGTCAAACTGCCCACCGCCTTCAACATCCAGACCGCAAACACCATCATACGCAAAATCCGGGGCCGGAAGGCCAAGAACCCGGCCATTCCGGACCCGACTTTCACGGAGTTCCTGAGGTACCTCCTCGGAAAGAACGGCCTGATTGGGGACGAGCATTTCGCCCCGATCTTCAAGTTGTCCAAACCCTGCATGGTGCGCTACGACTTCATCGGTAAACTGGAGACTCTGCCCAGTGACACGGACTACCTCATCGATAAGCTCGGCGTCAAAGGTCGTGTGGAGTATGGCTATCCAAAGCCGTATAGTGGGAGCTCTAACACGACTCGTCTGGTGGAGTACTTCTCGCGGGTATCGCCTGAGCTTATTCAGAAAGTCTGTGAAGTCTACAAGGACGACTTTGTTGCCTTTAGTTACCCCATGCCCAGTGATTTCTCTGACTTAAAGACCTACATGGAGAAAATAACCTAATTGTTTTTTCCAATTATAACTTATTACGTTTGTTGTCGACGACAAATATAATGTTGAAGAACAATTTACTGCTGTGTCTTAGTTTCAGAGCGATCTCTTTGACTCGACTTCTTGTATATTGGTCTTTAAGCTTATAGTTTCAACATTGCCATTCGACAGCTGTGATGGAAACGTGATCTATCATGAGCATACTTATGATTGAATGAAACAAATACCAAAGTATTGAATAAAACAAATATCTTAAAGTATTTGTTTTATTCAAAGTCATTGATATTGATCTGTATTTGAGTATTTATCCATGTTTTTATTTAAAAGCAAAATTAATGCCTATCTTTTAGCCGGTTGAGTAGACTATAGTTATAGGCCTTTATCGTGCTGCCACCTTTTCGGTCATGTTCCCTGTATCCAATAACAGTACTGAATGAGTAATATTTTTTTGCGCAACTAGAAAGGAACCAGACCATTTTTTTCCTTCCAGCCTCGCTTTGGTTACGTTGATTTGAAAAATCAAGGTGGCTTCAACATGACAATGGTCTATTGAAAAGTGTGCGTACCAAAATGATATGTAGCTATAGTTTCCGATTTCAGAATGGTTAGAAATAAACTGATTTTTAACCATTTGTAGTTTTAGTATTGCTAACTATTGTTTCAACTATTTATTGTTTATTCTTAATTGGGCACTTTCTTCCTGCATTGTTAAGCACTAAAATAAAAAGAAACATAGAGAAATCGGGCTCTCTGGTTAATAGTTGTTTACTTGTTGCTGTTGTTTTTTACTCGTGTTTTTTCTAGTACCTGTGAGCGCTAAGTCCCCATTAAAAGATGTTAACTTAATTATGTGTACACGTAGTATACTGGAGGAACATTATCCAGCACTGCCCAAAGCTACGGGCATTAAAATGGCGCATAGGGGGACACCACAAGCAAAAAAAATTGTTAGTTAATTTTGACGCTTCATGGCTTTTGCCGACGGGGGGGGGGGGGGGGGGGGACGTAGTAGGCAACCCCCTCCCACCACCCTCTCAGCGACAGGCCTGAGCATGTCACGTGATTCTAATTTATTGTAAAATAAGGCTTCAGTGATAAGCCCTTGGAGGTGCAACTGCAAAGTGCTTTCCTTGAAAAGTCGGCACATGCAACAGGTCACGTGAACTAGTTCTGAATAGGGGACTATAGACCTTTTTCAGGCTACACCATCTTGAAAATCAAAGCGAGGCAAATAACGCCAACAAACATGGCGGCCAAAATTGTTTGCCACGGTGAACGAGTGAATTAGCCCGGTTAATACTCTGCGCAAAAGCGAACGCGAATTTGTGACGTCGTGGCAAGTATTGGCGCTGCGAATTTGTAAAAGTTGAACATTTGAACTCGGGCGAATTTCGCAGCGAATGTTTCATGACGTCAAATTCGCTTCACATTTTGCATGAAGTGTGCATGAACCGGTGTAGCGTGAATTTAGGTTTCTATGAAATTCAGACTCATTGGTAATACCACGCATGCGTAAATATGATAATTAGGAGAGTGACCGGTCACATGAGAAGAATTAACCAATACAAATGTAATAGGGAAAAGGGGTCCGATTTTCATAGGAGTCGGATTTTCATGTGACACCGGGCTGCGAAATTTCTTTTCCCAAAGAGATTGGACAATATCAAAAGAGGGCGCTCTCTGCGTTATGCATATTCATGATGTCCAGGGAAATTAGAGAAAAATTTATATAACAATGAATAATAGTGTTTAAATCGCCGACGATTGGCAGCTCATTCGCAGACTGGTTGGAAGAAGTCCTGACTTCTAATCAGGTGATCCAGGCTTTACTCTTGCAAAGTTACAGCAGATAATTATGGAGAGTCTAGCTCAAATTCCACCAAAACATAAAACCGTATGCTTATAGGTCATGTCATTGCATTTTGAAGGATATTATAATGTAAAACTTAGAACCAGTGCATGGCGTCACATTTAAGATACATATTTTGAAGGCCTTTATGTACAGAACTACAGGTCCGACTGGATTTATCCACTTTTAGACGCCCATAAATGCAATGCGCCACCAAGCGACAATATCACGGTAACTTTGTGGATTTTTTTTTTTACCAGGGAGAACAGAGCGCCCTCGCAGGACAGGTCTAATTTTGTTCTGCGAGATACGCGCCGCCGGTGTGGCAGGTAATTCTGTCCCCCCTGGTAAATGTGTCCCCCCGGACAAATTTACCGGCTCGTGACCTGGTAAATCTGTATGTGTATAATGTGTATCCCTCTACACGAAGGAAATTCATCCAATGAGAAATTTCGTTACGCGCTACGATGGAACGCAGACCAATCCAAGTAGTCGTTATATCAATGAGGCGTCCACCGTAGAATTAATAGGGCTACTGTAGTGCACGACCTTGCTGTAATTTCACCGTACTCCGAGTCCGAGTCGATCGAAACATAATTGTTCACATTTCACAAAGAGACCAAAAAGTTGATTTTATTCATCTTCATGAAGGGCAGACTAAAAAGTAAAAAATGTATAGCTTGTATGAATTCATTAAAACAATAATTATAGGGAATTACTGGCCTTCTGCGCTGCAAAACTAGGGGGACAAAAAAACCTGGAGGGGACAGAATTACCTGAAGGGGGACAGAATTAACGGGCCGGGGAGGACACTTTTACCTAGGTAATTCTGTCCCCCCGGACACTTTTAACGGGGGACAGAATTACCGTCCACACCGGCCGTTCGCACTTTTATTGCCACTGAATGACTCAAATAACGAAACCTGCCCACAGTGAGGGGGCCTGATGCTGGAGGTCTACACATTGTTAATAGACATTATGCGTGGCCGCCATCCATACGTTTTGCATAGACGCCACGCCTATAGATTCCTCTAATTGGTTAATCATTGATTATATAGCAATGGTCACTTAAGATAAATAACAGTTTGACACTGGTCGACTGTGAACTATGGATGGACCTGCATGGCGCTGGGAGTTGTATCCTGAAATGGCTGTATGAAATGATTATTAATTATGAGTTGGACATTGGACCTCAGTACAAACTTTGTAACTCTTTTTCAAAACAGGCACCGGATGCCACGACGCGAATAACACTGAAGCCCAAGTAAAGAGTTGTGGCGTACGTATGCGAAACCACGTTTAAGTTGTGGTATAGTGAACCGTTCTGTTCTCCTAGTACTGGGCCTATAGTAATTTTGGCGATCAAATCGGCTGACAGTATTGTTTAGTGTCATCTTTTTGATGTTTGCATCTTATCTATCTTCATCCGGACTGCAAATAACACCGGCTGTTAAGGGCCTGTAAGCTATATTTATTGTGAGTATCCATAATACAATTCAAATGTTTTTTCCTGATTACTTTTCCCATGCTGAAGTAGCCTAATGTTTCTTCTTCTTTTCTTGGAGGCGCCGCCACCTGTAACCGCTGCGCCTTAGATGTAAGCAAAGAATTGTAATCCTTACTTTTAGGACCCGTTCCTATATAGGAAGGGAAAGACTCACCAAAACAGTTGACTAAATGACACTCAAAATTGACATTCTGATACTTCTTGGCACATCTGAACAATTGGCAATGACACCTCAGTCTTGAATATCAGCAGGTTTAATTTAATTTGTGGAAAGAGGGCAGGGCTTTGATTTATGAGGGAAATTTGGGGGTAAAGGGCGACGATGACAACCAGAAAACAGACTCAAAAACCAAGATGGCAAACGTGAAAGTTCGATGCAATGAAAGCTCGATGCTGATTGGCTGATAAAAAATAAACATCTTATTTATTTTTTTAGCAGCCAATCAGCATTGGGCTTTCATTATGTAAGGCTTTCACTTGTGTTGTGAGAACTACAACATGACGTCTGACTGCGAAAAAAAGGTAGGAAAGTCACATTTTCTTTGAAAGTGCTTTCAAAATTACAACTAACATGAGTTTATATGAAGAAAAAAGACTGCTTTAGCCTGCAAAAGTCACTTTGGTACTGGAAAGTCATCTGCAAAAGTCGGTTTTGAACAGAACTCGTAAAAAATAGAGGTGTCCTAAAAGTAAGGATTACCCAAAGACCTGTAAGCAAATGAATGTGTGATTTAGTTTATTTAGTTTTTCATGGGTTAGGTAGGGCATAGAGGCGTAGTCAGTGTCCAGGAAGGCTTGAGGCTAAAAAGTCATAACAGCTAGGGTCGCGAAATTGTTTTTAAAGGCTATCGCGGAAATAGTTTAGGGGGGGGGCGGATTCCGCCCCCGGCCCTTTTAGGGTTAATAATGGCATAGTCCCCTACCCCAGCGACACCATGTTACATGTATAAGACCATATGGAGCTACTAGCTAGCTATAATTAAATTCTGTGATTTTGAAATATATTAATATTATCGGAAAATTGGGCAAAATGTAGCCTAACACGAGGTACTAACTCAAAGCCTGCCCCCCCCCCCCCTTCCAATAAAAGTATATGACCACAATAATGCTTACTGGCAACGCCCATTGTATGTATTGTAGTATCATAATGCTTGAAGGACGTGTACAAGTTTAGTGGAAAAAATTAGCAATAGTATGGCTTCCGGGTAGGCCTACTTGCATTATGTTGACAAGGCACACCGCGCTAATTTGAGGCGGTCGCCAGACATCTGCTAAATAAGATTTTGTTTTGGCGAGCGACATCGACATTATTTTGTTTCGCCTCAACTGAAAATCTAAGATTTCACTCAACCATGGATGCAAACTTCCAGAGAGGGAGGTTGATGCAGGATCTGCATCCTGGAGCGGGAGTTTGGTGGGCCAACATGCCCCTCCCACCGGGCTGGGAGGCAAAATACGACCACAATGCCAAGAAATAGTGAGTTCTGATCGCGCTTTAGTAGGACCGGCAAAAAACAACATAGGGCCTAGGGCCTAGGGCCTAGCATGGAGGAAGGAATTACCTAGGGCCGAGGGCTAGGCGTAGACTAGCCCCATAAATGTGGCCTATTTACTGGACTGCCTCCGTAAACATAGGCCACACGTCCACATGTACAAAAATCGTGTCGACTTTGCCAAATTTTGATTTTCACATTTAGGCTTAGGCCGTTTTTTTTTAATTACTTGGATTACGGAATTTTTGGGTCCCCATTTCCGGCGGCGAGCGGGAAATGAAAAAAAAAAAAAAAAAAAAAAAAAAATGGGGGCGCCCTATCATCCAACATGGCGGCGCCCATAGAGACATGAAGAAACAAAAACGGGCACGAGAATGAACAGTCACCCAATTGGTGGATCAGATCCGGCAATTGCAGGATCACGATCAGATGGGAACGCAAAAGGTGGATCTGATCCGGCAATTTGACCTGTTAACATCCGCCCGGTGCACGAGTGGCGCGAAAATGTTGCGGTCTCATGAACGAAGAAACACGTTTTCAGGCGTGTAGCTCATGTGGACATTTCCAGCGTTTACAACATGCACAATAAACAACCGCTGAACTACGGGCTAGCACCGCGCATGCAAAAGCGCACGTGGTATCCTAAAACTACACTATAGGCCTTATTTTTGTTGCGTGTTCGTCCATTACTAAACCTTTTTCATTCCTGAAATTTTACTTATTTTTCCATCCATAAATGACTCTGAGTTCACACTCACCAAAAGACTTCACTTTGGCACAGAATCATTGAAAAGCTTACGAGTATGCGATGGGAATAGTGCCGATAACGCGGTACGTACGGGGGTGACAAATCTGAAGTATTGATTATAGAAAATTGGAAAATGATGTCGTTGTACATCATGTGACCGTTTCTAACCAATGAGAAGCTTCAGAACCAGGGAATCCCTTATCGATGCATTGGTTTCTGCCGTGATGTCACACGTGAGCGGCTCTGTTGGATTTCACCTTTTAATTTATGCACGCACGGATCCTCTACGGATCCGTGATTTATGTTGGTGAATTCGCGTAATTTTTGTCTGTTAATTCTGATAGTGCTGTTTGAAAACTGACCCATCCTGGCCTAGCATGCAACCATGCAACAATGGCACTCCCACAGAGCGCGCGTAATTCCGAACTCAGTGACCTTTCGGACCCAACATTTCCGTACGAAAAGGTGGATCAAGCATAAGTGGGAACGCGACTTGCGGTTTCGTTGCGGTAAGATAACGATCACACCAAAATGCCGGATCTTGATCCGCCTTTTTTCCAAATCAAGTGGGAACGCGGTGTATGTCATGTCGTTCGATCAAACCAGTACTAATACTATGGTTTACAGGCCTGGACAGCGCGCAATATAGAGTTTTTTGTACAATAGGCACTTTTTTTTTTTTTTTTTTTTTTTTTGGGGTAGTCAGAGTCGACAATTTCCGGCGGCGATTTTTTTAATTTTTTTCAAAATTCCGATTCTTTCCGGCGGCGATTCCGTAATCCAAGTAATTAAAAAAAAACGGCCTTAGTTTGTAAGATTTTTTTGCTTTAGAAGCATACTCACCCACTTTATAGGCTAATCAGAAAGTGCTGCCTTTTTCAGATGTATACTTTTCGTGAAATTTCCAGATTCATTTTTACACGTTTGCGTATCAAAATTTCAACATGAAATTTCACAAAAATTAGACATCTGAAAAAGGCAGCACTTTCTGATTAGCCTATAGTATAAAGTGGGTGAGTATGCTTCTAAAGCAAAAAAATCCTACAAACTAAGCCTAAATGTGAAAATCAAAATTTGGCAAAGTCGACACGATTTTTGTACATGTGGACGTGTGGCCTATGTTTACGGAGGCAGTCCAGTAAATAGGCCACATTTATGGGGCTAGGCGTAGACCAGTGAACGTGGCGTTAGGTTCGCGTTTGTTGGGTTGCAAACACAGACATGGCAGAGTGGCTCGCATCCATTTCTTGTGTGCTTGTTCAGTTAATGAGTTATAAGAATTACGGTTGTGGATATTTTTTTGTCAGTAAGATCACGAAATTCAACTTTTCCAGCTCAGTATGACCGATGGGAAAAATTCTACCAACCGGACACCACTTTTTTCAATTAATTTTCTAGCGCCAAAAGTTACCTCTTTTATGGTTATTCCCTCCACTTTCCCTCCTCTACTCTCACCCCCTCCTTTCCTTAATGTCTATTTATCAATCAGTCGCTCACTTCATCGAGATTCGAACCTCGGACGCTTGCTTGATACACGAGTCTCTTAACCGCTAGGCCGCGCACGATCGCTGTTGCAATGATCAATCTTTGGACGTATTTGAAGTATCCATTGAAATAAACTAAATATTCATGAGAAAATAGATATTCATAATGACGTATTGCACTATCATTGGCCGGCTCATGCGACGTCTCATGCGACGTCATGGTTATCGATGTCATGCGTATAACGTACCGCTGTTCCAGACACTTCAATCAGTTTTGATCGGCTGCTTCAACTCAGATCTGCACTACATGTGCATGCAAAATGTGCTCCAAAAACACATTTTTACCAATTTTTTTTCGCATGTCCACTCTTTCCTGGATTCCTCTTGGTTGAAAACACAAGGTAAGGTGAAAATTTGGATGTTTGGCGGCAGGTAAGTGGTGTCCGGTTGGCAGACTTTTTCCCCTCATGACATACTCACGTTATGTGCACCCATCGGTGGATTCTGTTGGTTTTTCGGCAAAAATGATGAAAAATATGCCCTTTCCGCACTGAGCCAACCTGACACTTGAAACGTGCACGTGCGCAGACTGATCGCAGTCATTTTCGGTTCGATCGCTCGGAGGCGCGCTCCATCATTTTTGCCGAAAAACAAGTACTTGAACCTCCTGTGAAATTGTTCTTTCAGGCATGCTGTCATTTTGAAGGAAACAGTATAAAAAGGCAATTTCCAAAGATGTGTCTAAAGACACATTGTTGGAAATTTCCATAAGTAGTTTGTTTGTAATTTGCCTAATCCATGAATGGGTGACACGACACATACACTCGTGTGGTTGCTATATTCGTGCTGTGACGTCGCGTAGCTGCAATTGGCTGAATGAGAAGGTGTCCCAAACAGGGCTCGATTTACAAAAAAAAAGTGGCATGCACTGGTGCATGTAGACCAAAAAACCTACAGGCACCAAGAAAAACCCACATGCACCATAATTAACTTACACCTGTCTGCTTCTCTGAAGGCATTCTTTCTCTTTAAATTTCATGCTCAAGCCTAGACCCGTGACGAGGCGTTGTATACAACGTGGCATTTTGAACATGGCGAAATTGATCCGCCATACATAATTTCGTACATATGTTCAGTACTCGCCTAGAAATCTAAATTTGCCTTCCCGCGTGTTCAGGATGTGTCATTTCGACGAAATTTCCCGTCGATGAAGACCCATACGAACGTGTAGAAATTAGATTTTAACCTGACAAGTGATCCTGACAAATGACCCTGGAAGAGTACCCAGGGTCATTTGCGTGCAAAATTATCGGAGCCCTCCGAGCTACACGTCTGCTTGTGTGGCGCATATGATGGGCGGCGTCAGATTGGCCAATAACGAGACAACGTGATAAACGCAGCTAATAATTTGGAATCGCACTTATGATCCGGACAAAAGGAATGCCCGGAGCGTCAGTGCGATACCAAATTATCCGCAGCATGTATCACGTGGTAAATCACATGCATGATCGGAGGAGGTTGCAGGACGTACGTCGAGATTTTACCTCGTACTCTGAATCTGCTGTGACTGTGCGAGCATGGTGCGAGGAATAATTTATGGATTTATAAAAGAAATAACACGTTTGTACACTACATGTATCTGGTCAAGTATTCAACAAACTTTATTCTTATTCTCACTCACTGGTAAATATATGCATGAAATGAGTATTTTGGTGGCTAAAAAAGTTACATGCATGTCGTGCATGCTCAGTAAAAAAGCTACGTGCACAAGCAAAAATCTACATGCACTGGTGCATGCGTGCACCCGGGTAAATCGAGCCCTGGTCCCAAATCCTGATTTCGGGCGCATTTAAAACATGACTTTGCAACTTTTCAATTAATACTGAGATCCTATAATAACGTTGTCTTGGAATTTATCAGGTTAGTTGCTAAGCACCCATCTTTAGATTTTGAGCACTTTTGTTGCTTTAAACGAACGAATAAATGCACGAATGACAATTGATCTAACCTACGTTTAAATACTTTTTTGTTTATATGGCTGCGAATGATTGAAGTCTTTCTTATATAATAAAGTTCAAATTGAATTATTTCTTTAATTTGACAGTTTCTTCATTCATCACGCCACCCGATCCACGCAGTGGGTTGACCCCCGAAAGGCTTTTTACGAACAGCAACGCGGAGGTGGTATTGCCCCAGGACCCAGCCCCAGAATGCCCTACGGCTCCCCAAGAATGCCCCACAGCTCCCCCAGAATGCCAATGGTAAATAGTTTCCAATCTAAGGGTTATATTTGGTACTTAAGTGGGGTGCTAGATTTCCTTTTTTTTTGACATTATGACGTGGATCGGTCGTAATATCTGTTTTCATTCAGACTTGGTTCTGCTTACACTTACAGGGAACCCTTGTTAGGGCCAATGTTTTTCCGTTTCAGAAAAGTGGAAATTCCGTTTTCAAAAAAATCCTAAATTCCATTTCAGGCTGAAAAATTCCGTTTCACATTTATTCAATATATAAAACGGCATTAAAACATATACCATGTGCACAGAAAATAATTCCAAGACGATAATAAAATAGTCGTTTGGTTGAAACGCGCTAAAATTGCCCCCAAAAGATTGCTATTTTTATCAACGACTGATCAATGTACAGACGTAGAATTTAACTTCACCACAGTCAAGTCGTATAATGCACCGCCACTGCCACACCTGGAAGAAACATGCAATAGCCGTACAGGCCAATCCCATGACGTCACACACATCAGCTGGCCGAAGCGAAATTCATATCCGCCATTTTGTTTTCGCACTAACGTTTACAACAAAATAGGATAGTTTACGGTAGATTTTTGGACCGAAGCACAACATGCATTTCAAAAGAGCCAAAGGTAGATGTTATACAAATAGATGATTGATTGAACGAAGAAAAATAAACCTGCCGATGGAGCAAAAGAGACCTGCAATAGCGTGCCGTGAGTGTGATGATTTTGACCCGTGCGCTGACCGACAGCTACGGCATTGCATTGGGACTGTCACTCCCATGACTACGCGTAAAGATCTCACAACATTTATTGCTCTGATCTTGAACATTTTTGTCCCGCCAAAATCGTGATATAAACACTGCTCATTTGTTATATGGCTCGTCTGTTCAATCAATCATCAACAATTCAATAAATTTAACGAAATTATGTTTTTTATCAACAAAATTGCAGAAGTTATTTTCTTCAGATTCAAATTCCGTTTTCCGTTTCGAGGAGCAGATTCTGCGAATTCCTGTCCGTTTTCCGCGATCGCGGAAAATCATTGGCCCTACCTTGTGAATTTCACCCCAGGTGGGCAAGAGAGTAGTGTGAAAACGCCTTGAACCCTCCTATGGAAACATGCATTCTGAGCCATGCTGTTACTTGGGTCAATATTGGTCAAGTGACCCATTGGGAAAGGGAGGGAAACTTTGTCTGTTTGTTTATTAAACAGCAAGAGGGTTTTAATGTCAACATCTCGCAACTATTTTATGGGACCTCAGTTGGAATTGCCAATCAATATTTTGCATGTGCTTGTTCTGGCAGCACGCAGGTCCGGCCATCCCTATGCAGCCGATATCCAAACCGAAATGCAAGACCTGCAAAACTAATGAGGTAAGTGAGATCAGTGGATTTGAACCCAAGACTAAACAAGCCTTGCACAGCTGCTCGCGATTAACCCTCCTGTACTTATCCTCAGTGTACCGGTTTTCGAGGGTGTAAGGATTCATTTCAAGCAAGAGAAGAACACCGACATAGCCTTTGGTTTCCAAAGTTTTTGGGCTGGCGGTGGAACGCGTACCGCACACACAACAAATCAACTGGTTGCGTAGTACGAATCTGCACATTTGTGTCGTTAAAAGGTCAAACCTCGTAAAAACCTGATGCCTCGAAAACAGGTACGCGGATGATGTAATTATCACAAACTGTCAAAAAGACAAACCCCCACCGCTCTTGATAGTTTTTGTACAGGCTGCTCTCCAACTGCCACAAATCCCTATGGATTTTTTTCCTGTCGGAGCCTATTCAAGTGGCTTGGCAGAAAGTATGACCACTAATACAGGTACAGCTTGTGTAGCGGCCATTTTAAAATGGTCAGTTGTACCAATATGAGGGCAGTTTGCAGATTTGGTGAAATCTGTCACCTGATAGTTTTAGACAAGTAACGCTCTACAGATTGTCACCGAGCACAGGAGGGTTAAGCCACTGTTTTGCCTATGCCTTTTGAACAAAACCACAGGTGCCGTCGGCCAATCAGGATTGTCAGGCGTGTCAGCTGAAAGCCCGTCAGAGGGAGGCGGAGCTTGTGCGAGCCAGGGAGGAGGCGGAAGCTGAGAGAAAGCGGCAGGAGAACCAGCAGCGCATCCAGAAGGAGCAAGAGCGACGCAGGGTGCAGTCTGCCGCCCGCAGCAGGACTCCAGTGACCAGCCACACTTTTGAGGTATGTACCTTTCCTCCAGAGTCTTAATGTCCTTGAGCAAGGTACTTTACCGCAGTTGCATCCTCCCTCCCTGTAGAGGGTGCAGTCTGCTGCTCGCAGCAGGACTCCAGTGACCAGCCACACTTTTGAGGTATTTACCTTGCCTCCAGAGTCTTAATGTCCTTGAGCAAGGTACTTTACCGCAGTTGGATCCTCCCGACAGTAGAGGGTGCAGTCTGTTGCTCGCAGCAGGACTCCAGTGACCAGCCACACTTGTGAGGTATGTACCTTTCCTCCAGAGTCTTAATGTCCTTGAGCAAGGTACTTTACCGCAGTTGGATCCTCCCGACAGTAGAGGGTGCAGTCTGTTGCTCGCAGCAGGACTCCAGTGACCAGCCACACTTTTGAGGTATGTACCTTTCCTCCAGAGTCTTAATGTCCTTGAGCAAGGTACTTTACCGCAGTTGCATCCTCCCTCCCAGTAGAGGGTGCAGCTGCTGCTCGTAGCTGGACTTTTATTGACCAGCCACTCTCTTAAGGTATATACCATTCCTCCAAAGTCTTAACGTCCTTGAGCAAGATTCCTTACCACAATTGCATCCTCCCTCCCAGTAGAGGGTGCAGTCTGCTGCTTGTAGCAGGACTCCAGTGACCAGCCATGCTTCTGAGATATTTACCTTTCCCTCAGAGTCTTAATGTCCTTAAGTAAGGTACTTTTACCAAAGTTGCATCCTCCCTCCCCGTAGTGGGTGCAGTCTGCTGCTCGTAGCAGGACTCTAATGACCAGCCACACTTTTCAGGTATGTACCATTCCTCAAAAGTCTGTCCTTCTGTCCTTGGGCATTTGCTCCCTCCCAACAAAGGATGTTGTCTGCTGCAGTATCTGACTAGGCGGGGCTGGAAAGTGTGAAATAAGTTTTGGTCGGAGGAAAAGGGCGGATGAAAAAAAAAAATCCTCTTTCACCTTCCAAAAGAAAAGCTTTATTTTTAAGAAGCAATTTTGGATTAATACAGAGAAATGCACAAAGATCAGTAAATCTAATTGCAGTTGTTTGGCCCATGCCTTTTGAACAAAACCACAGGTGCCATCGGCCAATCAGGATTACCAGTAGTGTTGGGCGGTTCCAGAATTTCTAGAGCCAGTTCCGGTTCTCTAAACCGGCTCCCGGAAAATGTAATGAAAAACACAAGCCCTTAAAATTAATGTAAAGTAAATAAAGAAAGGTTTGCGGTAACACCATGTGCGAATAATTTCTCAACTAAGAGAATGGTTCTGAAAAGAACCAGAGGTATTTACTCGACGTTCCGGTCAGTATGCTATGACCGTCTTCAGGAGAGTGCCTAAACTCTAAGAAAGTAACAGTGTCTCCTTGTGCAGTCCGAGCTCCATGGATTTCAAAGTGCAGTACATGTTTTTCCACTACGTATTTGGCTTCAAAATGTGTCTTTTTCCTGTGAAACCGTGGAGATTGTTGTATTAATTTAAAAGCGAACTTAGCATTTATTGCTTTATCCGTCGGAGCCGATTCCCACGGCACTCAGAGCTGGGTCCATCAGAGCCGATTCCAGCACTCAGAGCCGGTGTGATATGAAAATCTGACTCCTGTGAAAATGGGACTCCTTTTTCGTTTTGTTGGTTAAACCCTCTCACGTGATCGGTCAATCTACTGTTTATCTATGTATAAGCATGCGCAATTCCACCAATGAGTCCGTATTTCATAAAACCTAACTTAGAGCTACACCGCTTGTCCAAGTAGCCCCGATCGGTCTGGCCACGCCACATGAGTACATGTAAGTGTGTCATTCAAAACATTTATTATCCATGGCACAGGGCCATGGCAAAGGGCCAGTATTGAGTTCAATGTTCTGTGCCTTGTGGCCGCAAAGGGCTCTGTTGAGCAGTTGTCTCTGACTCTCCGTCGCGCCTGCGAGTCAGTGTGGTTTTCCCCACCATTGTTTTGACTAGCCAGAGTGAGTGTCCCGGGCCTTCACGCAATTGAACTCCTATGAAGCCGATTCTCGGCTCTGGGTTTTGTGCACAGAGAGTAGGTAATTTAATCTAGAACCGATTCTTTTGGAGCTGCAACCAAGCATAACAAGTACCCAGTTCTTGAAAAGATTGGACTCTCGGTTCCAGTTCTTACATTGGAACCGGGGAACCGACCGCACCGTGCAATACTTATTGCCAGGGTCGTTATCTGAGACCCCGTCAGAGGGAGGCGGAGCTTGTGCGAGCCAGGGAGGAGGCCGAAGCAGAGAGAAAGATGCAGGAGAACCAGCAGCACATCCAGAGGGAGCAAGAGCAACGCAGGGTGCAGTCTGCTGCTCGCAGCAGGACTCCAGTGACCAGCCACACTCTTGAGGTATATACCTTTCCTCAAGAGTCTTAAAGATGGCTGCCACTTACAAAGGATCTTTCGGCAAATTTTCTGAATCTGTTAGATGTCGCATCTGAATTTGTCAACTTTTTTTTTTTACTTTTGTAGTTACGATCATCATCATCTTCATCTATATTACCGACACCATCAGCATCACGCTCTTCTCAATCAAGATTATCATCTTGATTACCATGGTAACAGTTGTGTAGGCATCTTTGTCAGCCCAATCCCGTTGTCATGGTTACCCATGCACCAAGCACCCCGGCCACCACAGAGACCCCTGCAACCACCAACACACCAATCCGTTATTTCCCGGCCCGTGGTATTTTGACTAAATCACAGCCTTCAATCACCCTAGCCTTCCTCCATCCTCCCAGATCCTCCGGGTAGTTTTGGAGGATTTCGGGGGATTGAGGCTGAATGGCAAAAAAAAGTATCGGTTGATTATGGAGGATGCATTGTGTCGAGTTTGTAGTCTGTACCCAGCATTGGTGTGTGTTCAGCCATGCATAGGCATGTAATTGAGCCCTGGATTATGCTCGATGTCATCCGCACTGCTCCTGAATGCCGTCTGCACTGTCTCAACCCGTTAACAGTGATAGTTGATATTCACCCCGCCACTGAACAAATTCAAGAAATAACGGATGATGATGACTATCAGCCTTGTGCTGAATTCACCATAACAACGCTCTCCAACCGCCATGGAGATCATCCTCATCGACAGTCTTGCCATACCAAACAGCTCGAAGCCTTGGTGTCATCTTTGATGAAAGTCTGAATTTCAAGGCCCACGTAATCAACAACACCCACATCGCCATGTTTCACCTGAGAATCAGTAGTCACATTCCCTCGCTAGTGCAATCAGACAAAACGACATAACAGCTTTATTCATGCTTTCGTCATATCAACGCTTGACTGTTGCAATTCAGTATTTTATGGCCTGCCAGCTTCCACCATCGATCACCTTCAAAGAATCCAGAGTATTGCAGCCCGTTTCCTGACCCGCACAACGAAGTTCGAACACAGCACCCCTGTACTCAAAGGCTCGTACCATACTTTCAATGGGGGCGCTGTTCAAATCCAACGCTAGGAGAGTGTACAAATACCCCCGTAACCCAGCAGGCTCTGTCCTTATTTTGTGCACAGGCGTATATTTATATCAGTAATAATTGTTTTTGGGTGTCAGAGCAGGGGGGATGGAGTGTTTAGCAGTATTTTTTATTAATTTCTAAATACTTTTTTTTGTCACCCCCCCCCCCCCCCGGATCCTAGTCTGATTATATATACGATAGTCAAGTAGTTAAATAACCAAAAACAATGCTCTCTGTTCATAAAAATCATGTTTAAGTAGAAGATATTAATTACTAAAGATATTCGTCCCGTCGTCAAAACGGGAAATCTACTTCGTCACAAATATGTAGTATACATTGTTTGCTTGTACACAGCGCGCGCAAATAGAAAATGTATACATTTTAGAACGCATATTCATCACATTGTCAAAACACACATCGTGGAGTCTACGTAAGTCTAAATATAGCACACGTGTAAAATCAATGAGACTGATTGACGATTAGCGATTTGTCACTTCGTCAAACCGCAAAATCTTGTTGTGTGTCGCACTTTCGTTACTTTGTGTAATTAGCGTTATTAACGAATGATAGAGTTTTGTGTCTCGAAATTTGGTGATCATGCAGAGGACATAAAATGTTAGAATATTCAAAAATCACAGATTTCATAAAATCTCAGATTATATAAAATCTCGGTTCAGGACGGATTTGCTACTTTGTCAAAATGGTGATGATAGGCTCGCCTTTAACCTGAGCTCATATTAACCCTTACTCTCTGAGGGTAGTTTACTGCATGTCAGTTGGTTATGCCAATGCCCTCCAGCTGCAGTTTATTGGCAGATAGTTTTATTTAACAGTGAAGGCTCCAATTGGCAGGAGTTGGAGGCCCTGGAGGGTGCCTGATACTGACCAGCTGGGGGCACTCACTTTGTTATCAGAGGACTCTCATTGTTCTCTGTGGCATGTATTGGAGTGCCTGTCCAGTTACCCTTGAAATGACATGGCAGATATTGGAGGGCCATGCAAAAAACATAGGAGATTTTCTTGAGGCACATATTGGCATGCGTTGGAGGGTCCAGTTGGGTAAGGGTTAATGAATGATAGAATTTTGTGTCTCGAAATGTGGTAATCATGCAGAGGACATAAAATGTTAAAATATCCAAAAATCACAGATTTCATAAAATCTCAGATTATATAAAATCTCGGTTCTAAACGGATTTGCTACTTTGTCAAAATGGTGACGATAGGCTCGCCTTTAACCTGAGCTCGTATTAATGAGAGTCAACTGTAATATATCTTAAATATCTCAATTTAAATCTCAATAAAAATCAGAAAACTTAAAGGGAAAATACAACATTTGCATCCATCGAAAAATAAAACGACCAAGTTTTTACGAAATACCTTACAGGATGTTGGTAACTGACAGTCTAAAAGCATCCTGTAAAATTATGGCACCTGGTGTGAAGTCATTTTCAAGAAAATTGCATTTTTGTGTACATTTCCAACGGTGGTCGGCCGACCGCCGTAGGAAAAACTTAACTTTTTTTCACTACTGCTCCAAATTGACCATTTTCTTCAGTCCAAATTTTGTTTGCTGTTGGTTTCATTTTCATGAAAGGGTGCAGGCCAGCTAGACTGGTTCCCTAATACCGTACAATTTTCCGGCATCTGTAAATTGATCCATTTCATCTTCAGTGGAGTCAGGGAACCAGACTACTTGAACATTTTTGTTTTTTCTTGGTTTTTTTAGCATTTTCGAAAACAAAACTTCAAACATGTCAGTGTAACAATAATTTGAGTATTATACTAACCCCTCAAATAGTTCATTTCTGAAAATTAAAGCAAAAGCCAATGATGTACATTCCCTTTAAATATGCCTTGATATTTGTTTTTTTTTTTTCCCAGACGTCATTTAATACCGAACCTGAAGCAGAACAATTAACAGCGGGGCAAAAACGAGCAAGTGAGTTGACATTTGACCTCCCCACCCACAGATAACAAACATTCATAAATACCTCAGACAGTTTAGCTATTCCTATTGGTCGAGAGCCCGTCACGTGGCCGGTCTTAAACGGATGATAAAGACATGGCTAGCTGGTCTTAAACACTTTCCCAGTGTCACAATAAAATGTGGACTCCTCAAAATCCGGTGCCTCTTATTGTTTATTGGTTGAACATTCACAATCCTCACGTAGGCTTGCGCAACACTACCAGCGAGTCAGAATTTTATAGTTCTAAATTCAACACGCAACGCCCCAGGTGCGTTCTGCGCAGAACATGCTACGTGCGCGTCAATCTCAATAAAAGGGTTGTTTACATCTAACTCGCCAGCTGAACACTCCATTATTTTGCTAGAGGGATGTTTCAAAAAGCATGAATTGAACTTGTTGAACAAAATCAGGATTTTTGAACGAATTATTTGATTTTTTTATACCAAAAAGGTATTTATGAATGGGAATAAATATGTGCTCGGTCGGTATTTATCACTCTGTTTAAGACCGCTTAGAGTCTGGGTGCTGATAATTACCTTCGCCTCCGGCTCGGGTAATTATCAGCACCCAGACTCTAAGTGGTCTTAAACAGAGTGATAAAAACCTCTCGAGCACACATTTATTCCCTTAATAACAAATTAATGAATAAATTACATTTGATAAACAATAACATTTAATAGCTATACATAATATGTATACATTTATATATTTCCTTTGCTAAGTTTTTGTAAAGATGAATATTAAATATGGGCTCTCTGACTTTTCTGAATTGTACACTTTAGGTATAGTCAGTTAGCAGTTCGCGGCAGCAAACAGTCGATCTAACTTGAGCAAATGTCTCCAACCACAGTTCTGTGTAAAATAGTCAAAGGCGATATTCCCCTCCCCCAAAAAAGTTGAAATTGAAAGGACAATTTTATCGTCTGATTTTTCAGTTATTGAGAGTTTGGACGATGCCTTCCCTGGCGTTGAGAGGAATGTCGTGGAGATGGTCTTGGAGACGAGTTCTTGGGACAGCGGGAAGGCTACCTCTGTCCTGATGTCCATGGGGCCAAAAGACGACAAAAAGGTAAATAAAAAAAATATCGAGAAATCAACATCTTGATGGGGGACTCAAGTCTTGTAGACAGCTGGTCTTAGACTAGTTTCAAACCACTGAGAGCAAAATTCTAGTTGATGTCCTTGGGCAAGACACTTTGTACTCGTTTTCCCCATCTGAATTTTTTTTACATCACCCGACGTACAGTTATCTCAACTCAGTGCTAACATTCCTTAATGATAAAAAAAAAGACAAACCAGTTGTTAACTCTAAACCTCCTAGATTCTTCAAAATCCAGCATGAGGTTTTTTTGAGGATTTTGTAGGATTGAGGAAGGAAGAGTCTTTTCACTCACTTCACTTACCCGGCACGTGGGGCTCGATTCTCATTAAAAAGTCCTCCCCAGCGGTAGATCTTGGAGGAGTCAGGACGGTTCAAATCTTGAATGTTTGGGAAATTACTGTTAAAGGTAAGGCCAAAAAAAAAATAAGTCGGTCTCTGGTCAGCGCGCGCGTCGATTTTAATCATGGTCGTCGATCTTTTTTGTTTTTTTCCAAAATGTTCTGCGGTAGCTCCAACAGCGCTCTCTATTTCCACACCTCCACAATTTTTTTTACCAAAGAGCACCAAGGAATGGGAAATTACACCAAGGCAAATGATCGAAAGCACCAAGGCAAATGATGGAGGACACCAATGTACATGAGGACACCAAAAAAGCAAAATAGTACCTACCTTGTCTGTACAATCCAAGCTTGAAGAAAAAAAAAAAAAAAAAAAAAAAAAGCCGCGTGGCCGCGTCAATTCCGGAACTTTGGTCTGACCAGAGACCGAATATTTTTTTTTTTGGCCTAATATACAACATTTGCGAACATAAAAAATAAAAATTACCAAATTATTAGAAAAGCATCCTGTCAAATCATTTTGCCTGGTATGCTGTCATTTTCAAGAAATTCTGAATTTTTGTATCAATTTCCAATGATGGTCAGAAAAAAAAATGAGGTTTTCAAACACTGCCCCCAATTTACCAAATAGTCGGACTTAGTCCACATTTTGTTCGCAATCAGTTACACATTCGTGAACGGGTGCAAGCTGGCTATACTCTGGTTCACTGACCTGACAATTCCCCGACGTCTATACATTGCTCCGTTTTGTCTGAGGTAGGGTCAGGGAACCAGACTACAAGAACCACATTTTTTTTTTCTCGATTTTTCCAGCATCCATGAACACAAACCTTTAAACAGGCCATTGTAAGACAAAACACTATAAACCTCCAAATCCATCCGTTTCTGAAAACTACAGCAAAAGCATGTTTTGCGTATTACCTTTTAAGTTTTAAGCGGTGTTCGACCTGAACCTTTCCCCTGTTTTCCAACTTTCGTATTTTGGCAGAAGACAGCAATGGCCTCCGCGGCCAGGGCTGCCACAAAGCCTAAAGCACCATCGCCACCGAAAGCCTCTTCCCCGAAACACCCCTCCGCTGCAATGAAACAGAAGAGTAAGTGTTTCAAAAGCACCAAGTCTTGTGTCTTTTCTGTCAGTCTTTTGGATGAAAATGCTGGTGGGAGCCGAACTACCGACCTCTTGCCTGCTAGACTCCGACTGTTTGTTTTGTTGGGTTGTTTGCTTGTTTGTTTTTCGTAGTCCAAATCTTCTTCACTTTCAATCTTTGTTTCTGGCATAGCTTTATTTCTATGTAAAGAATTTAAATCAAATAAAGGTTTTGCCCTTCACCAACGTATATTTATACACTGTATACTCGGAGTGTTACCTCCCGAGTGAAAGTTGGAAAAGTCACTCGGGTGGCTTAAAGAATTTTTTAAAAATGAAGCCGGGCGTCCCCGCCTTCTCAAAACTCCTTCTTGAGAACTTAACAGGTGAGAGTCGAACCACCTACCTCTTGCCCGCTAGAGGCTGACTGTTTGTTGAGTTGGTTTTTTTTTTTTGCTTGTTTGTTTGTTTATTTGTTGGATTGTTCCTTTTTTCAGCCCTGGATCATCTGAAGATCGTGTTACTGTCAGCCAGTGAGAATGCCTGGCTTCCATCAAAAATACTTGGGTGTTTGATTGTGGAGTGCTGTGGCCCCGGGGTTAAGGGCATTGGATTCGTGGTCTGCGGGTAAAGCTGCAGCTTGTGGGTTCGAGTCCAGCCTGGGGTCATGGTGCGTGTGCCCTTGAGCAAGGCACTTTGTCACTCATTGCTTTTCTCCACCCAGGAGTAAATGGGTACCTGTGAGGGCAGAGATGGTTATTGTGATTGAATTAGCTTCCTTGCGCCTAACAGGCAGCATCGAGCTGTATACTCCCCAGGGAGCTGAGACGGTATTTGGAAGGTTTCATGGGCCCAACGATCAGGGGTAATAATGATGTAGCCCTTGTGCACCAGTACCTGGTGGATACGTGCGCTTTATTAATACAGTAAACTCCGGCTAAGTCGGCACTCGCGGGACCCGAGTAATTTGTGACGACTTACGCGAATGCCGATATCTGCTGTAAGTCGTCATTTTGCCGGCTTACACGAATGGTCTTTTGCACACATGATTCATTGTACTAATTGGCTTCGATTTACCCTGGATTATCTCCTTAATGCTTAAGTTGAATCCAGCAAATTAATCCTCAAATTGTATCATCACGTTTGGGGTATTGATAGTGGAGACCACAATACATATGTACGTGCACAGAAACAAATTAAATGCATGCCTGGTCCGGTATACACGCATGCATTGACTGCAGCACTAGTCATTCAATAAGACGACCCCAAAATAGACAGAGCGCATGCGTACAGCCTAGAGGGGGTACTGGTATTGATATGCTCACGATGCATTTGCGATGTATGCAGTAGCACACCCTTTTTCGACACCGATGCATGCAGCAATCACAGGCCGTGCCAAACCACTTTTCACTCGACACTTTGCCAACCGCAGTACAGGAAGTCGATGCCAATGCGTGATTTGTTGAATGCCGACTTACACAAAGGATTTTGTAATGCTTTTTATGGAAAGGAGACCGCGAGTTACACGACGACTTGAGCGATATGGCGACTTATAAATGCCAACTTAAACATAAAAAACTTCAATGGAAATACATTACGGACAATCAAGACTTTAGTCAGACGGCGACTTGAGCAATTTGACAAGTTGTACGATGTCGGTTTAGCTGGAGTTTATGTACACACCATTTTTATTATTATTTGTTTTGTTTGTTTACAGTGCTTGACAATCTGAAGAAGATGTTTCCATCGGCCAGTGAGACCCTGATAGAGCTGGCCCTGGAAACGACTCAGTACAATCAGGCTAGAGCCACTCAGGTACTCCGCATGACCGTGGCGGACGAGCGCGGATCGCAGGCTAAGAAGAGCGACACCAAAGGTAGGACACTGCTTGACAGACTAACGGACCCCTTGTATGACCGGTAGAGGGCGTCCTTGCACATTTTTTTGAGAATCGCAAACAGAGGGACGCGCAGATAGTGTGTGCTGGCGGTTTTCTTTATGGTGTAAATCGAGGATACGCATGTGAAGCATCATCGAGTAATTGAGAACAGGAGTAAAATCCAGGACGACCTTGATTAGAAAAAGTGAACAAAACCAATCTTTTATACAAAAGACTGATGATGAGGATTGTGAACGATTCTTTAAAAAGAAATTCGCTGGCGTTAATGTGTATTCCACTTTTGCAGTGCGAATTTCTTGATTTTTTTTTGGTACCATGAATGTTTGAGTCTCCTTCGCACCAAGTATGAACGGATCTGATTTTGTTTGTTTACTTTCAGCCAAGACGACAGCACGGGCCACGACTCCCTCCAACGTGACCTTTTCCATCAGCTCTGCTGGAAGTTCGGGGGCTTCGGCTACGACCAGGGTAACGGACGCACAGCCCAAAGCAAGGTTAGAAATTACTCCCAAACTGGGGGTGGATTGCAAATAACTGGCTCCAATTTCATGGCTCTGCTAACGACAGAATTCCGCGCTTACGATCGCCGCTCTGTGCTAACTGTGCCACAGAGATTCCATGCTATCCCCGTGTAAGCACAGAATCCTTAGTTACGGGACGTACATGTACACTTCGCATAAGCCAAATTTCCTTGCTTGCCTGTGAAATAGGGTAACCGTAAGCCAGTGTTTGAGCAAAGGCTTCGACCCTCAAGGCCAAGGCTTAACCTTCAAGGCTAAGGCCAAGGCCAAGGCTTTGACCCTCAAGCCTCGAGGCCAAGGCAAAGGCTTAACCCTCAAGGCTAAGGCCAAGGCCAAGGCCCTGTTTTAGAAAATGACCACTAATATAGAACTAATTATAGTCACATGACACATCATCACGAATCGCTCATTAAGAAGAACAACTTGTCTTTAATTGCAATCAACATGCTCGCGTACACTGTTTTATGACTGCATTAGATCTATTAAAGTATAAGTTCAGGTCTTCATGGTTTAACTAAAACAAAATAACGATATATTGACGCACAATTCTCCCGAGTGTAACAAAAGGGGGATCCAAGAAACTGATTTGGAAAATTTTTATTTGCTGGGCCAACATGTTCAGAAATATTAGCATTATCTAAAACAGATACTTGCAAATCTTTAGCACTTATCAGGGAGACATATACAACCAATCAGACCTATTCCACAATTGTATACAATTTAAGTGATCATCTCATTAGCCCCACAAGTGTACAGAATATTGTTGCAGCAAATCTACTACAATGGTAACAAAATGTGATGCTATAAAAGTGAAAGTGTGCCCAACACACAAATCTATACGGTTTTTCCCTCCTCCATTTCTGAAAAGTAGAGCAAAAGCAAATTTTGTATATTCCCTTTAAACGGTCTTTAGCTGGGATTTTCCTACATTCATTTTGTGTGTTGCAATATTTGATACCAGAATGTTTTTCCTTTGAATTTTGATGATTCAAACATAGCTGCCAACTAGTACGATTTTTTCGTAATTATTACGAATTGTTTGTTAAATTACGAAAATACGATTTGCCACTAAAACATTACGAATTTCCCATTTTCTACCTAGCGAAAAAAAAAATACTTGTAAAGTATCGTTTTTGACCGAAAACTTCTGGCGAAATGTCGCGATAATGGATGGACTGGTGACAAGTCTAATAAGAATGCAGTCAAGCACCTGATAGACATCAATGCAGTGTACGCAGTGGAGTACTTGAGGACCAGACTAAAGATATTTTTCAATGTCGTGTCATTTGTGTGCATCTCGTGGATGTGTGGTTGTCATGGTTGTGTGTACTGTATGTGAGTACTTTTCAGTGACGATCGTGAGCACATTTAGTCGCTCATTGCCGGGATGAGACCCATCAGTGCGAGATTTTAATCATAGAATTTAATAAGAGTATGGTTGGAATAATTGGTAATAGAGTTTGAGTTTGTCACAACGTCCAGAAAAGATAAATCAGCATGCGTTTGCAAGGTATGTTGGCGGGATATTTCTATTGCATACGGTGGCCCTAAATCATTGTGTGTAAAAACATGATACGAACTCAAAACTCCACATCGATAGCATGCATCTCAAAAAACATATGCGCACATGTTATGGTTGTTATTATTTATTTGACTTCAACATTTTTTTTTAATTATCTTTTGGCCTTCAGTACATTATTATTCACAACAAGAAGGGTATGCACATGTATGTGTACATGTAAACCATGTACCTGTACTCGATGTTGGTAAAGCTTTTGATAAAACGAGAAGTTGAAAATGACTGCGCGGGTTGATTACTAATTGGGATTTTGAAAAGTTGGCAGCTATGTTCAAATGGAAAAACACCACATCAAGAGAAGATTTTCCCAGGATAGACTGAATCTTGTAGAAAAATACCACGACACCGAGTTGTACGGCCACAACGGCCACAGATTTTCTCAACATGCAATACTCTGTCAGATGTGATTTTGTGAGATTTGAACCAGACCAACAAAAATTGTCTGGGTATCAAGTTTTGATTCACTTGTTGTCAGACACGTGGAAGTAACAATTATGTTACCGTATTTTGCACAGTTTGTTTACAGAGTTGGTCTTGTCTCACATTTTTTCTTCATCGAATCTCCTAACCCTTTTACATAGACTAACCCTTACCGTCGTAAATCCATCAAATTCTTTCTAACAGCGTTTCCTCAGCTAGTGACTCGGGAGCGTTGAGTACTGGCACAGTACCGGCCACACAGCCCAAAACAAGGTCAGAGTTGGTGCTGATGCTTGGTGTTGGCTGTTGCATGCTGTGTATTAGCCCAGCTCCCCTGCTTCTGTGCCGAGTTTATGAGTCATACAGTTCTAGATCGAGTCTTAAGTCACATGGTTGAAGACCGGATCAAGTCGGTTGGTTCAAGATGTAGACTTTGAGTCACATAGTTGAAGACTTGAGTCAAGTCGGTTGATTCAAGATCCAGACTTTGAGTCACATGGTTGAAGACTGAGTAGAGTCGGTTGGTTCAAGATCAAGTTTTTGACTCACTTGGTTGAAGACGTGAGTCGAGTCGGTTGGTTCAAGATCAAGACTTTGAGTCACATGGTTGAAGACTGAGTCGAGTCGGTTGGTTCAGGATCAAGACTTTGACTCACTTGGTTGAAGACTGAGTCGAGTCGGTTGGTTCAGGATTAAGTTTTTGAGTCACATGGTTGAAGACTCGGTGAAGTCGGTCACTTGGTTGAAGACTGAGTCGGGTCAGTTGGTTCAAGATCAAGACTTTGAGTCACATGGTTAAAGACAGAGTCGAGTCGGTTGGTTCAAGATCTAGACTTTTAGTCACATGGTTTAAGACTCGGTGGAGTCTGTTGGTTCAAGGTCAAGACTTTAGTTGAACACTGAGTCAGGTGGGTTGGTTCAAGATCAAGACTTTGAGTCACATGGTTAAAGACAGAGTCGAGTCGGTTGGTTCAAGATCTAGACTTTTAGTCACGTGGTTGAAGACTCTGTGGAGTCTGTTGGTTCAAGGTCAAGACTTTAGTTGAAGACTGAGTCGGGTCGGTTGGTTCAAGATCAAGACTTTGAGTCACATGGTTGAAGACCGGATCAAGTCGGTTGGTTCAAGATGTAGACTTGAGTCACATGGTTGAAGACTGAGTCGGGTCGGTTGGTTCAAGATCAAGTTTTTGACTCACTTGGTTGAAGACTGAGTCGAGTCGGTTGGTTCAGGATTAAGTTTTTGACTCACTTGGTTGAAGACTGAGTCGAGTCGGTTGGTTCAAGATCAAGACTTTGAGTCACATGGTTGAAGACTGAGTCGAGTCGGTTGGTTCATGATCAAGTTTTTGACTCACTTGGTTGAAGACTGAGTCGAGTCGGTTGGTTCAGGATCAAGTTTTTGACTCACTTGGTTGAAGACTGAGTCGAGTCGGTTGGTTCAGGATCAAGTTTTTGACTCACTTGGTTGAAGACTGAGTTTTGTGTCACTTGGTACAAGATTGAGTCTTGAGTCATTGGTTGAAAATTGAGTTTTGAGTCATTTACTGGCTGTCTTGGAGTCACTTGGTTCAAGAAGATGGAGTCTGAGTAACATGGTTAAAGACTGAGTCCAATCGATTGGTTGAAGACTGAGTCTTGAGCCACTTGGTTGAAGACTGAGTCAGGTGGGTTGGTTCAAGATCAAGACTTTGAGTCACATGGTTAAAGACAGAGTCGAGTCGGTTGGTTCAAGATCTAGACTTTTAGTCACATGGTTGAAGACTCTGTGGAGTCTGTTGGTTCAAGGTCAAGACTTTAGTTGAAGACTGAGTCGGGTCGGTTGGTTCAAGATCAAGACTTTGAGTCACATGGTTGAAGACCGGATCAAGTCGGTTGGTTCAAGATGTAGACTTGAGTCACATGGTTGAAGACTGAGTCGGGTCGGTTGGTTCAAGATCAAGTTTTTGACTCACTTGGTTGAAGACTGAGTCGAGTCGGTTGGTTCAGGATTAAGTTTTTGACTCACTTGGTTGAAGACTGAGTCGAGTCGGTTGGTTCAAGATCAAGACTTTGAGTCACATGGTTGAAGACTGAGTCGAGTCGGTTGGTTCATGATCAAGTTTTTGACTCACTTGGTTGAAGACTGAGTCGAGTCGGTTGGTTCAGGATCAAGTTTTTGACTCACTTGGTTGAAGACTGAGTCGAGTCGGTTGGTTCAGGATCAAGTTTTTGACTCACTTGGTTGAAGACTGAGTTTTGTGTCACTTGGTACAAGATTGAGTCTTGAGTCATTGGTTGAAAATTGAGTTTTGAGTCATTTACTGGCTGTCTTGGAGTCACTTGGTTCAAGAAGATGGAGTCTGAGTAACATGGTTAAAGACTGAGTCCAATCGCTTGGTTGAAGACTGAGTCTTGAGCCACTTGGTTGAAGACTGAGTGTTGAGTCACATGGTTTAAGATTGAGTCTTAAGTCAGTTGGTTTAAGACTGTCATTGAGTATTTGTGGAAGACACAAGCCATGAATCACTCGATTTAAATCGAGTTTTGAATCATTATGGTTAAAAATGTGAGTCTTGAGTCAATTGGTCAAGACCGTCGTTGAGTTATTAGAGTGATGAGCTTGCATCCTGAGTCACTTGTGTAAAGACTGAGTCTTGAGTCCCTTGATTATGACCAAGTCATGAATCACTTTGTTGTGGATGTCCCCCTCGTGTGTTTGTTGATAGTGTTTAGTTTGTCTTGGTAGCGTTTGTTTTGCTTTTTTCTTTTTCAAACCTCCTAATCCTCTCGTGTGAATTAACCATATTTATATAACCGACATACCGGCTCAAAAAGTACTATTCGCCCATGGGGAATGGGAAATACTATTGAACAGTAAGAATCATGACGCGGTATTTGTGTGCAAATGCATGCTGGTGTGCGCGCTCAGCGTTGCACGTAGCGCGTATTCCAAAGAGCCAGCGCTACAGCGTTGGGTTCAAACATTTTCGTGAAGGGGTGGTTTGGAAGAGAGAAATACATTCTTCTCCAGTTTTGTATTGAAATAAAAGTTCAAATATATATCAAATGACAAGGTTCTATATGTCAGTTATATAAAACAAATATTGAGTGGCTTTAAATTGTGAAATGGGAGGAATATTATCGCAAGGTAAAATCTGAATCCCTTCAGAATCCCACAAGTCTGTTACTTTGGATACAGAAATATCAAGGAGGACATTAGAAATGCAGTGTTATTTTCCCTCAGTGTCTACGCACTACTTTCATGTTTTGATCTGACGTATATATCTTTGGTCTGTCTGTCTTGGTTTTGCAGTGCTCCTGTATCTTTTGGGGTGACATCCTCTGTCTCTAAACCGTCTCCACCTTCCTCCTTTGCTTCTGCTTCTCCTGGGACTGTGTCTGCACCGTCAACCAGCCTCCCAAGCACCCCGGCAGCCTCACGCCAGGCCAAGGCGGCCGCCAGAGCCAAAGGTGAGTGGAATAGTATACAAATAATAAGGGAATAAATGTGTGTTGGGAGGTATTATAACACTCAAACCGGTCTTAAACAGAGTGTTTAAAACCGACCGAACACACATTTATTCCCATTCATAAATACCTTTTCGGTCCAAAATAAATTTTTTTTCTCAAAAACTAGACGTTGCCAACCATTTTGTTCAACAATTTTACATCATGTTTTACGAAACACCCCTCTGACTATAATATGGAATGCCCCTCCACAACTCGTTACCTAATATGGACATTGGCGTGCGCGATGGTACTGCGCGATGTCGCGCAAAACGCAGCTGGGCTGGTGAAGTGTGAATTTTGGACCATGAAATACTGATTCACTGGTGGTACTTTGCGCATGCATACGGGAGGAATTTGAACGTTCAGCCAATGAAATGTTAAAAGGCACCGGATTTCATAGGAGTCCAAATTTCGTGTGACCCTGGAAAAGCGTTTAAGACCAGCTAGCCATGTCTTTATCATCCGTTTAAGACCGGCCACGTGACGGGTTCTCGACCAATAGGAATGCGTTAACTATCAGAGGTATTTATGAATGAATGTTTATGAATGCAATGGTGAGAATATTTTCCTGACAGTCCAGCGGATATGTGAAAAAATGGTGCACTTTTGCATAAAAGCATGAAACTTGGCACAGATGTTTATATTCGTGCGAGAAAATGTTTTAGATGTGGAGCCATCGCAAATTTACCCTTTTTTAATAGGGGCGTGGCATCCATTTAAAAAAGGGGGCCGGACTTGTCATTCCTGCAGTAAAAAAAACGGTTGATCCGACGAATTATGGCAACCAGGCGCGCTAGTGCATCGTGTCAACACCTGCGGGAGCTTCGCCGAATAAAAAATAATAATAAATAAATATTCCTTCAGATCTGAAAATGTCCAGCGTTCGCCTGTCCCATCACCCTCTGGATGTCGTCTGAATAATTTTAAGAATGCCAGTTTTTCATGTACAGGCTTGTTATGATGTTGTTTTGTCCTCGTAGGCGCAGCACGCAGAACCAGATCAGCCGAGCGGGCACCCAGGGAGGAGTTCCTGTCGCACTTCTCGTCCGCCACCCAAGGACCGGACGGCACGCTGGTCCACGGCCCCAACAAGAACAACCTACTGTAAGTGGATCCTCTCTCGTTTCATCCATTTCACTGTGGATGCAGAAAGGGACGCGGACAGAGGGTGTGAAGTTCCGATACATAAACAAACCGCTCTTTGACGCTACGAAAACGTGTGAACGCTATAGTCCATCATTTGCTGCTATCCGAAAAGTAACTGGCGTAATTATTGTTGAAAAACATACTTGGTTGAAAGATAGTAAGTGGACTAAACTCCCTGTGAAATTATTCATTCTGGCAAGTTGTCATTTTGAAGTAATCAACGAAAGAAGGCCTTTCCAATGGTGCTTCATAAGACGCACCGTAGGACAATTTTAATTAGTTTGTTTTGTAAATCGGCAAAGCGCGCACAAGCATTGGCACGACGCACGTGCGCGCGTGGTTGCTATAATTTGTCGGATCAGTGCGCGACACCGCGTAGCTGCAATCGGCTCAGTGAGAACGTGTCTCGGACACTGAATTCAGGCCCAATTCAAAACATGATTCAGCAACTTTTGATTTGAAATTGAGATCCTAGAATGCTGTTTTTTCTCGCAATATATAGCTGAAGCTGCGCTGAAACTTCATCAGGTTAGTTGTTCAGTACCCTTCTTTAGATTTTGAGCACTTTTGTTGCTACAAACAAACAAAATGCTCAAATTACAAATGATGGACTATATCTTTAACGATTCCAGAGCTCACAAAATTTGACTGAGTCGATTGAGAATGGTGCTTCAGTGGAAGTCTTTTCATGCACCAAGCCTACATAACAGGCCAGATTTAGCCCATTGGTTGGCGTTACGGGATTACCCAAAGTCCCATTTTAGGGCCACGGTGAAATTTGAGCATGTCTCATTCACTAGTCGGTGAATTAGCAAAATTCTGTGTTGCACTCTCAGAAGATGGCAGCTTTAAATAGTTGTGCATCGTGTCGTGTCTCAGGAAATTCTGTTTGTCCTGCATCATAGAGCAAGTTCAGGTGACGACCATGAGACGAATAATGGTTTTGTGATGTAACTCACACCTGCCCGTTAACTTTTTGGCCAACATGATGGCAACATAGGCCAAGTTCGGGCAAGGACCATTAGTCGACTAGTGGTTGATTTGTGACGTACCTTACGCCTGCGCACTGGTAGCAACGTGCGAACGTCCCTAGTCAAACGCTGGTCAAAAATACTCAAAATGTCATCGCAAAACTTCTGGATCCTGGCTCTCTGATAGCGTTATGAATGCGCGCGGCTATTGGTTACCAGCGATGCAACCAACCCCAGTAGGCTGGTTCCAAAAAGTCGACTAGCGTAGTCAACCACCGTCGACTAGACAGAGTTCGGGCAAACGTTAGTTAACCATTGGTCAACTATAGTCCTTGCGCGAACTTGGCCATAAATGCCTGTAGTCAAAAGATGGTCAAAACGTCATTACAAAACTTCTTAATCTTGGCTCCCTGTCCTGCATTATGGTAAGCACGGATATTGGTAACCAGTGACCAAAACGTGCCCCCTGATTGACTAATCAACTAGACTAGTCCAACCATCCTTTGTTTGAGCGAAGTCAGTCAGAGTTGTTCTTAAAGTTCCTCCCAATTTTTTTCTCACTTTTGCTTTGTATCAGGGAGACGTACGTCAGCTTCAAAGGCAGCGATCGCAGCATCGTTCACGGCCCCAGGAAGGAGAACGTGGCCGGTCCGGCCAGACGCGAGGGGCACAACCCCAGCTTGGCTGTCGGGTCGCAGAACAGCCACTACACCGGTGCCCAGGCCAGCCTGGCTAAGGGGTCCATGCGCGCTGCCGATCGGCAGATGTAGCTACGCCTCCTGATTGACTAAAGCAAACTGCTCATTTGTCATAAAAATTAAAGAGAAAAAAACATAACAACAGACCAGTGGAGTCTGCAGTCATAAAAAGCACTTGAAAATTTGGTTACTGGTCCAAGTCAGTGGCCCATGGGTATCTCAATTCCTGTATTAAAACAGCAGCCTATTGGAATCAACTTTAATCACAGGTTGTCGCAAGTCGGTCACAATTTAAAACGTAGTCAAATGAACTATGAGAAAGACATTTTTTTCGTCGTCGTTATTCCTAGTATTTGCAACCCGACTTGTGATTAGACTTGTAATTGCCAGTGTAGTCGAGACCAGACACAAGACCAGACACAAGATTAATAAGGGAATAAATGTGAGCTCGAGAGGTTTTAATCACTCTGTTTAAGACTGCTTAGAGTCTGGGTGCTAATAATTACCCGAGCCGGAGGCGAGGGTAATTATCAGCACCCAGACTCTAAGCAGTCTTAAACAGAGTGATTAATACCGACCGAGCACATATTTATTCCCATTCATAAATACCTTTTCGGTAAAAAAAAATCAAGTAATTCGTTCAAAAAATCCAGATTTTGATCAACAAGTTCACTCCAGTTTTTTCAAACATCCCTCTAGCAAAATAATGGAGTGTTCAGCCTGCGAGTAAGATGTAAACAACCCTTTTATGGAGATTGACGCGTGCGTAGCACGTTCTGCGCGATGTCGCGCAGAACGCACCTGGGGCGTTGCGTTTTGAATTTAGAACTATAAAATTTGGACTCACTGGTAGTGTTGCGCATGCCTACGTGAGGATTGTGAACGTTCAACCAATGAAACGGTAAGAGGCACTGGATTTTTAGGAGTCCACATTTTATGTGACACTGGAAAAGTGTTTAAGACCAGCTAGCCATGTCTTTATCATTCGTTTAAGACCGGCCACGTGACGGGCTCTCGACCAATAGGAATGGATAAACTGTCTGAGGTATTTATGAATAGTGGAGCAAGCACAAGACCAGCCACCAAGTAAACGGGGACACGAACAATGACAACAGGAATGCCTTTGTTGCAGCTCATTTGGATAGCTTGTGACTTAAATTGAGACTGAAACTCTTATAATAATAATAATAATCGGCATTTAAGAACGCTCTTATTAGTAAACTAAATCACAGCACTTACAGTATTATTATTACCCCTGATCATTGGGCCAATTAAACATTCCAAATACCATCTCAGCTCCCTGGGGAGTATACAGCTCGATGCTGCCTGTTAGGCGCAAGGAAGCTTATTCAATCACAATAACCATCTCTGCCCTCACAGGTACCCATTTACTCCTGGGTGGAGAGAAGCAATGAGTGACAAAGTGCCTTGCCCAAGGGCACACGCACCATGACCCCGGCTGGACTCGAACCCACAACCCGCAGCTTTACCCACAGACCGCGAATCCAGTGCCCTTAACCACGAGGCCACTGGTGATGGACTTGTGATTGCCATGTGATTTACATGTAAATGACTTGTGATTGACTTGTGATTGCCATGTGATTGACTTGTGATAGACATGTGATAGACATGTGATTGACATGTGAATGACATGTGATTGCCATGTGATTGCCATGTGATTGACATGTGATTGAATTGAGATCAACTTGTGATGGACTTGTGATTTGCATGTAAATGACTTGTGAATGACTTGTGATTGACTTTGGGGGACATGTATCAAAGAAATGGTACCTGTTTCATATAAATATTAAACATGAAATGGAATTTTTGTGCCGGGGTGATGTAAGTTCAATATTGAGTTTTGCCCTTCACTGGCGTATCATATTTATAAAGACTATAATCAGTGTCTATTCTTGAGTGATTGTGAGGGAAAAAAATCGCAAGCTACTAAAAAATGTTATTGAAACTATTAAGGCTTGTATTTGTGTAAAATTGGTACTATTGGTTCATGTGAAAGTCAAGTGATTTATCTCTGTCATGCCAGTGAACCCAAGCTTTTGTGACATTGGGAAATTTGTAACATCAAGTGTGATCGTTGGGTAAACTTGTGCGTTTATAAGCTGACGGGATTCTCTCATTCGTGTTCAGTACTGTCTCTGGCTGTGATTGTATTGGTCATATAAAGTACAAGGTCTGCTTGTCGATTTAGCCCATTTGTTGGCATTTCAGGGTAATCCTATAGGATTCAACCAAATCGTTCTCCTTTTTTTATCCCCTTGGCTGTGGCATGGGTTGCTTGTGCGTAAAGCGCTCGCCTCTCACCAAGGTGACCACGGTTCGAATCCTGGCCGCGGATCGCATGTGAGTGAAGTTGTGCGTTGGTTTTCTCCTGTGCCACGTGGGTTTTTCTCCGGGCCCTCCGGTTTTCCTCCCTCCGGAAAAATCAAACACTTTCGATCTCAGGCTGTGCTCCGTGGTCATATATGGGTCGATGTGGCCGGCAGCCATAGGCGCCTTTACGTGCCAGCGGCCTGACCACGTTGTAGCCGCGTCCTTCGCAATTCAGCATACCAGCTGCGAGTAAGGATGATTAGCCTCCCAAATTATTATTATTAATATTATTATTAAGCCGGAGGGGGATATTGCGATTGCGTATTAATTCCAACCGAGCTTGATTTGCCGTTATTGTTCATGGGATCTGGTACAGCGATTACACTTTAGGCAACAGGTCATGACCTCCAGGGTTAATACTCTACAGGCCTTGATCCTGGGTAGGCCATGATTTATGTCACTTTGCTTCTCTCTGGTGTCGTGAAAAGTTATATTGTAAAGTAAAAGGCTCCTTTATAGCTTCACAGTTGTAGACTGTAAAGTGATCTTATTAGGCCAAAAAAAAAATACTCGGTCTCTGGTCAGCCCGCGCCGTCGATTTTAATCATGCGCGTCAGCCTTTTTTTTTCCTTCAAATTAACACGGAAGCTACAACAGCGCCCTCTATTGCTGCACCTCCTCAAATTTTTGTACCAAGGAATGGGGAAATTGCAGCAAGGCAAATGATAAAGGGCACCAAGGCAAATTATGGAGGACACCAAGGTATAATGAGGACACAAAAAAGCAACATAGTACCCACCTTGTCTGTACACTTCAAGCTTGAAAAAAAAAAAAACCCCGTCGCCGCATCAATTCCGGAACTTCGGTCTGACCAGAGACCGATTATTATTATTTATTTTTTTGGCCTTAACTTAGCTGCCAGCATGCCAGGGGGATCGCGCAAGTTTTACTTGCAGTATTTTTAGAGACAGGTATTAACATGAAGTTGATGAAAATATGAGACCCATTATGTAGCACCTTTATAGGGGTTTACAAGGTGCTGCGGCACACTTTGCAACCACTGCCAGAAACACCAGGGCAAACCCCTTCTCTCCCTACTGGTTTTGTTAATAACATGCATTACACAACACACGGGACCTACAGCTTTACGTCCCATCCGAAGGACGAAGCAATAATAGTAAAGTGCCTTACACAAGAGCACAAGCACAATGTTTCCTGTCAGGATTCGAACCCATGTACCACGGCACGCGAGTCGAACACCGTAACCATTGGACCACAGCACCCCGCTAAAAATTTGAACCAAAGATCCTAGTATGGGTCCATTTAGATTGCGGATTTGTAAAAACAAATCAATTATTAAATACTTTCTCAGTTATAGCTATAGTCCATCATTTGCAGCCATCCGAAAAAGTAACTGGCGTATTATTGTTGAAAAACATACTTGGTTGAAAGATAGTAAGTGGATTAAACTCCCTGTGAAATTAATCTTTCTGGCAAGCTATCATTTTGAAGCAATCAACGAAAGAAGGCCTTTCCAACGGTGCGTCTTAAGATCACTGTAGGAAAATTTAAATCAGTAGTTCGTTTTGTTATTTGGCGCAGCGCGCGCAAGCATTGGCATGATGGCGCGCGGTTGCTATAATTCGGCGGGTCAGTGCGCGACATCGCGTATAGCTACAATTCAAAACAATTCAAAACATGATTCAGCAACTTTTGATTTGAAATTGAGATCCTAGAATGCTGTTTTTCTCGGAACATACAGCTGAAGCTGAGCTGAAACTTCATCAGGTTGGTTGTTCAGAACTTCATTAGATTTTGAACACTTTTGTTGCTTCAAACGAACAAAATGCACAAATTACAAATGATGGACTATATCTTTAATTGGTTACAGTTGCAAAACAAAGCTTTTTTTTTCAAAAGCTATATTTTTTTTATTTGCTGAAGTCTGTTATGTTAATGGCAATAGCTGAAAAGCAATAGTCAGTATTGTTTTATGTACTCTCTTGTAAATATTTTTAAAAAATACTAATCAAATGCTTCTACTTCCTTAGGTAAAGAAAACCGGGAGGTCCTTTTTTCTTCTTTATTTTTAATCGTGAGCATGTATAAAAAGCTGATAATGTATCTATATTATTTTTATGTGTGCATTCTTTTTAGCCTTTGTACAATTTCATGCGTAAAAAATCAGTATTTGTGAATGGTGTATATTAGACTAATGCAATTTAGTAGTAGTACAAATTTGCTGTGAGATTGTTATATGGGCAACTGAAAAAAAAGGTGTTTTACCAGTAACCTGTCAGTGTTATTTCTGAACAGTTTGCCATTCAGGTACCGTTAAGGGCCTGTGACCATTGAGCTCGTCCCCTCCCAAGAAGTCCTTTCGTACCGTGAATTTACGTTTCTATGAAATTTGGACTCATTGGTAATACCGCGCATGCGTAAGTATGGTAATTAGGAAAGTGACCGGTCACGTGAGAGGGATTAACCAATAATAGGGAAAAGGGGTCCGATTTTCATAGGAGACGGATTTTCATGTGACACCGTCCCAGCTACCGGCGTAGGAGCTGGTCCACTTGCTAATCAGGAACTCCTCTATCCTGGGGTCTATTGTTTGCAAGTATTGACACTTGTAATATATCCCAGAAGAAACCTGCTTGTGGTTTTCATCTCTCAGTGCGAAACAATAGGACACTTTCGTCGGCACAGATCAAAACCCCTGCCATGCGGTTTCGCGCTCAATGGGACCGTAAATTACCAAGGCGTTTGGAAGGATTTTATCTTTAATCCAATAGACCGCTTGCAGACGCGTTCGATAATCGACGCGCGAAGGCGCGCGACGCCATGTTGTGGGACAGGCGTATATCAATTCACGCACATTTTGTCCCATAACATGGCGTCGCTCACCTTAGCGCGTCAATTATCGAACGCGTCTGCAAGCGGTCTATAAGTCTGCTATTGTTCTGCACTGGCCGTTCTCCGAAAGGGCAATAAATTGATGCGCCTGACTGACTTCAAAACTTCTGGTCAGACAGGACCATGTACCAGACGAGACTGGGCTGAAGACCGGACTGGCTCTGATGGACCGAACGAGGTACCGGGGGGCCCTGTTCATACCAGGGCTGAATGGTCACGGTCCCTAAGAATGACTTCAAATGATTTTTTAGCTGTTGGGTAGGTAGTTTGCTATTCATAATCACTCTTGGAGGACGACTGCATGAAGGAGGGCATCAGAAATGGGTCATTCCACCAGGTTAGGAAGCAGTGCATGTTACATCCATATATTTGGTTATATTATTAAAAGTATCAATGCATTTTTAACAATTGCTCAACATAATATTTGTCTGAGGGTGTTTCAATACGCGAGAAAGTTTGAAATCATTTGAAAGTACTTTGACACAAATATGAGCAAAAATGTATTAATTCGGATGTAACATTGACACTTACATCCAAATATTCTTTTTCTTGCCATTTTTTACACGTATGTAAAATATTACCCAAACAGACACTGCATATTCACAAGTGGACACCTAAGCACCAAGAAAATTTTGTTTTGGTATAGTCAGGGTTCAAATATAGCAGAAACAATACCTCAAGTGCGGATGTAACGGTGTAAAAATCACTCAATGGAAGTGTGACATTTGGGTTTTACACCATGTCAATGTTATATCCACACAACCAAGCTATCATTCCTGCTCAATTTGATGTCTGACTACCGTAACAAAAGCTTTTCTTATTGTGTTCCATCTATAGTAAGAAGTACGCAAAGTAAATTTGGGTAATGTTTCGCAGAAATTTTAAAAAAAAACAGCTACAAATGTCATATTTGGACGCAACACTGACATGGCGTCAATGTTTACGTCCAAAATGACATTTTTTGCTCATATTTTTGGCAAATACATTGAAATGATTTTAAACTTTCTGCAGTAGTGAAACACCCAACAACAAATATTATGTAGAGCAACTGCTAGCAAGGCATTCATGCTTTTCTTAATTAATATGGTCATATGTCACACTTTGTTCCCCAACCCGGTGGAATGACCCACATCATAATTATAAAATCATAGATGTCAAATGTTTTAACAGAGACACGGAAAAATGTGGACCCCCAATTTATTGAATGACCATATGCTAGTCAGCCTAGCATACATATATATTAATCAATGTAAAGTACATGTAGAGTCTTAGATGTTTTAAATCTATATTCAATGTTTAAACATTGCCATAACATGTAAAGATGTCTAGAATTGATTGCTCAATTGAAAGTTTGTTTTTGAATTTCTTTTTAACATTTCCCCTTTTTTTAGGGAGTGGGGGACTTGAGCTGAAATGAAGGACCAAAAACCCCCAAAATTCATTGACAAATCGGGCAACTATCATCCTTGCAGGTGGCAGTCCATTTAGCAGAGACTTGTCTCATATGGCATTTCTGAGGTTGCAGATTTTTATTGGAGGCAAAAAAACAATTACGACAGAAAATCGGGGCAAACTGAAGCAAACGTAGTTTCGATTACTGTTGAATACTAAGAACAAACAATTATTTTCACCTTTTTATTCCGTGTTTCTAAGGCCAAAAAAACCCAATAAGTCGGTCTCTGGTCAGCGCGCGCGTCGATTTTAATCATGCGCGTCGATCTTTTTTTTTTCCAAAATGTTCCGCGGTAGCTCCAACAGCGCCCTCTATTTCTGCACCTCCTCAATTTTTTTTTTACCAAAGCGCACCAATGAATGGGAAATTGCACCAAGGCAAATGATCGAAAGCACCAATGTACATGAGGACACCAAAAAAGCAAAATAGTACCCACCTTGTCTGTACAATCCAAGCTTGAAGAAAGAAAAAAAAAAGCCGCGTGGCTGCGTCAATTCCGGAACTTTGGTCTGACCAGAGACCGAATATTTTTTTTATTTGGCCTAAGGATCAACATCTCCTTTTCACATAATGGCACAAAAGTTGCCAAAAGTCACGTTTTATTCCCCCCCCCCCCAAGAAAGTGGAACCTTCCTTTCCCTGCATTATGAACAGCGACAATCCACACAAGATATACCACAAATACTAGATATATGCACACAAACTTTTTTCACATTGTTTTCCAAACACTTTACATTTCTATACAACTTCCTACGTGCGTCTTAGTTTCCCCAGCGTCCTTATAATAAGCCAGTACATTAAAGCCCGAGTCCATCATTTGCAGCTATCCAAAAAAGTAACTGGCGTAATTATTGTTGAAAAATATACTGGTTGAAAGATAGTAAGGGGACTAAACTCCCTGTGAAATTATCCTTTCTGGCAAGCTCTCATTTTGAAGAAATCAACGACAGAAGGCATTTCCAACGGTGCTTCTTAAGAAGCACCGTAGGAAAATTTAAATCAGTTGTTCGTTTTGTTATTCGGCGCAGCATGCACAAGCATACGAGCGAGGCACAGGTGCGCGCCGTTGCTATAATTCGTCGGATCAGTGCCCGACATCGCGTACAGCTGCAATTCGAAACAATTCGAAACATGATTTAGCAACTTTTGATTTTAAATTGAGATCCTAGAATGCTGTTTTTCTCGGAATACGAAGCTGAAGCTTAGCTGAAACTTCATCAAGTAAGTTGTTCAGTATCCTTCATTAGATTTTTAACACTTTTGTTGCTTCAAACGAACTAAATGCACTAATTACAAATGATGGACTTTAGCTTTAAATCGATGAAGTAGTCCATGTCAAAGGTCATTCAGGATAAAATCGCCGACGTGATGATACGCGCAGTTATGCAGACACCCATTCTGCTAGTAATTAACACGCAAGCGTCGTGCTCCCATCTCCATGTGCCTTTGACGAGCGTTGGATTATCCCGAATGATCTGTGACCCATATCGATTGTGCCCATGCTCAGTTGGAATACCCAACTGGCTTTCTGATTTCTGAAGAAAAGAAAACATTTAAAGGGAATATACAACATTTGCAAACATCGACATTTTTCAACTACTGCTCCAAATTTACCATTTTGTTCAGTCAAAATTTTGGTTACATGTTCATAAACGGGTGCAGGCCAGCTAGACTGGTTCCCTGACCTAACAATTTTCTGGCATCTATAAATTGATCCATTTCATCTTAAGTGGAGTCAGGGAACCAGACTGCTTGAACATTTTTGTTTTCTTGGCTTTTCCAGCATTTTCGAACACAAAACTTCAAACATGTCAGTGTAACAATCTTTGATCTATTATGCTAACCCCTCAAATAGTTCATTTTTAAAAAATAACAGCAGAAGCCAATGATGTACATTCCCTTTAAAGGCTAAAATGGAATATCCAAACTAAACCGCAATTGTACAACCACAGAGTGGAAATGATGCATATATATATATATCTAAAATATCAAAGTCTACGTTACTCCAAAATAATTTTGATCTTTTTCCCCAAAAGTTTCCTTGCAGGGATTTCAATAGATTTTTGGTGTGGAACATGATTGATATTATAGGGGTTACAAAATGAGAGCACAATGATGTCGAAGATCGCCAGCCTTCTTGGATAAGATAATTTGAGTTGTATGCTGGCCGATGAAGGGGTTTAAGATGTTATTTGAGTTTCTGCTAATTAATCATGCCGTGACAAGATTGTGGCTTGGTTACACATTAAACCTGCAAAATCTGTACTAAAAATAAAGCTTTGTCTAAATTGTATGCGGTGAAATTTTCCGTTTTTGTCAACTTCATATTGTAACAATGATGGCAATTAAAATTTATTTATTGTCGGCTTACTTGATTTACTATTCATGTATTACTATGTTTCAGTAATGAATATTCATGATGCTGTTAAAAATCCCTGAAGCACCCGACGGCGAGATGCCAGTGCTGGTCTGTATCGCACCGTGAATAATCCCCTCGGTTGACACGACGCCGCCATTTGGGGGCGCCATTGTGGTCGTCACAGGCAGCCCTGGCTGGTGGTGTGCCTGGGGTGGCGCTACAGTCGATTGGATCACATGACCGCTGCCGTACAACTCGCTCTGAACGACATTCCGTGCCTCGGCCAGGGCTTCCGTTATGACGGATCCAATGAGCGATTTCTCCCGGCCGTAGATGATGGCTCGGCGGTCTTTCAAGTCGATCTCTTCGTAGGCCTGGACGTTTCTCAAGTCCACATGCCCGCTGGAGGTGGGGACGGTGACCGACTGGGTGACCGACTGGGCGAGAGCTGGGGAAGGGGAACCCTGGATTTGCCCGGGGATGGGCGAGAGCGCGCCTTGCAGATGACGCTGAATGTGCATGTGGTGCGCGTGGAGAATCTCGGGCGTGGGCAACATTGGGTGGGGCTGGGGTGTGGCTGATGTGGAGCAGAGGGGCGTGGCTGGCACGGAGGCCTGGGGCGAGTTTTGGAGGATGGCGGGCTGGAGCAAGATGGATGGGCGGTCTTGAGACGGGGAGAGGACGCGGGGCGACTTGTTGCGGTGCACGACAACGCCGTGCTGGCGTTTCCGATGCTTGTACAGGTTGCTGCTGGTGCTGGTCGTGTAATCGCACATCTCGCATTTCTTTTGCTTTTCTCCTGGAAAACGGGGAAAGAAGTTTAAAAATCCAATGTGCACAAGTTGTCAAACCTTGAAAAAGATGCCACACTCCAACCACCTTGACAAAAAGGAAGAGAATTTTAAACCATGGCAACAACCAAACCACAGAATGCAATATGCAGTGTACCTTATAGTTACATGATGCCATTTTAAATCGTAATGCCATTTTAAATCGTAAATCATGGAATATCTGCTCACTTTTAAGGAAAAATATGATGTTCCAATTTGAGCAGGATGCTTTCAACTTGAACACCTGTACTTAACACCTCAAGAAAGGCAGCTTGTTTTATTTTTGACTACCGGTACATGATCTCCAGACGCTCGGTCCAAGAGGAAATATCTATTCAAATGCAATGTGGTCGATTTCCTGACAGGCAAAATTAATGGCTCGTTGAATGATTTTGACACCCATGCTAGTTCAGTCGAGTCTCGTTATAATACAAACTCGTTCAGACGTAGCCAAATTGTTTGTTACATGTATATCAGAATTTTGTATTAAGAGGAACATCAGTCCCATATCCATTGTGCAAATAAATGCACAGTCGGGACTAAGGCTTTATGTTTGTTATAACCAGAATTTTGTATTAACAGAGTTTGTACTAACGAGATTGGACTGTATTTGCATCTCAGTCACAAAATCTGCCAACTAATGGAGACACAGCAAAACCAAACCCACCTGTGTGCATCTTCTCGTGATCTTGCAGGCTGGCTTTGGAGCGAGACTCGAAGCTGCAGAACTCGCACCGGAAGGGCTTGTGCTCCGGATGCTTCTTCATGTGGGCACGCAGGTTGTAGGCAAAGGGGAACGCCTGCGGGCAGAAGGTGCACTGAAACGGGGTGGGCCTTGGAAGGTGCTTCCTGGCAGCGTGCAGCTGACACTCCTTCTCGCTGAAGAACTTCTTGCCGCAGGTGTCGCAGAGGACGCGCCGGATCTTGAGATGCTTCCGCTTCATGTGCAGGTTGAGGGTGTCGTGGCGCTTGCAGCGGTAGCTGCACAGCTCGCAGCCATGGGGGCGCACCACCAGGTGCACCTTGCGGTGCATGCGCAGGTTGATGGCCCGTTTGAAGCTCTTGCCGCACTGGTCGCAGAGGTAGTTGCGCGCCTCGAGATGGATGGGGGCGTGGGCGTTCAGCCGGCTCTGGTCGCCAAAGACAGCGTCACAGATGTCACACTTGAAGGGCTTCTCACCCGTATGGGTCATCAGGTGTCGCCGGTAGTGGTGCATTGTCCCTTGGATGAACTTGCTGCAGAACTGGCACTGCTGCTCTCGCATTGTCTTGGGAGGCCGCTCTTTCTTGTGGGCCTGGCTTTTGTGCTTCTTCAGCTGACCTTTGAACTTGCAGGTGAAGTCGCACTCCGGGCACCGGTACCGGCTCTCAAGGACTTTCTTCTCCCTCTTCTCCTTCTTCTCCTTCTTCTCCTTGATTTCGGGGCTCTTGACTGCCTTTGGGTGGACTGACCGGCAGTGCAGTCGCAACGTCCGCTGGAATTTACAGATGTAGTCGCATTCAGTGCACCGGTAGCGGTTATCGGGGATGCGGGATTGATACTTGTAGACGGGGGCCGGTAAGCCGTGGACTCTGCTCTTGTGGTTGTGCAGATCTTTCTTGAAACGGCAGAAGAAGGTCTCACAGAGGGTGCATTGATAACGATCCGTGGCCTCATTGGACTGGATTTCCTCCGTGACATCGCTTGGTTCTTGGTTGTAATCCTCCAAGATTCTGTATTCCTCCTCTACATCTTCCTCTGCTCCTTCCTTCTCTTTCTTCTCAGCTTGGATCATCTCTGCGTAGACTTCAGGATGCGACCCCCTGGTGTGGGCTCTCAAACTCTGTTTGAACTTGCAGACGAAGTGGCAGTGCTGGCACTTGTACCGGTCGGAGGGGACTGCAGGTCGCAGCTTGGCCTTGACCCTCAGGTTTGAGCGATTGTGCCGCCGTTTAACCCTCTTGGCGTGACGTTTAAATCTTGACATGGCCGGCTGGTAGGGGACATAGTCATCATCTTTCTCCTCCAGTTCCTCATGCGGCATCTTGGTGCTCGGCCTGCGCCGCGATTGGATGCGGTCGGCGATAGAATCTGGGCCTGTCTTGCCTTGAGCTGAGAATTCACCTTCCCCTTGAGGTTGCGGTTGATGACGGGCACTGTCCTCTCCCGGAGCTTTTTCTTTCCTTGCAACAATCACTGTCGCTTCTCTGACAATGCACTGCTTGCTGCCCTCGGTCCTCTCAACTCCCTCGTCAACATTTTTGCAGCTGTTATCCTTTTCTGCCAACATCTGTTCACTCACTTCATCTCTCAGTCCTGAAACAGAGGGAGCATCACTACCGCCACTGTGCCTTTCCTCAGTTGACGGCAGAGATGAGACCAAATTGGGCGTGTTTGTTTTACTGAGCGAGGCCAAATTGGGCACATCCTTGTTTGAAGGTGGCGTCTCATCTTGTGCATGATGACCATCATCTCCAGGATCTCTTGATATGATGGGATCGACTTGCTCCTTGGTGGCTGCATGGAGTGAAAGAGAATGAATGATGAAGTGAATGGTAGCGTACAAGTACAAACATTTTTAAATGGTAAGACTTGGATTAAATCAATCAAGTCGAGTCCCTTGGCAGCTCGAGCCCTCTCAATGATCTCGGTCCAGATGTCCCGGTCCAGCCTGCAGGAGCACAGCTCCTCAGCAGTGGTCAAGCCGGTGTCCCGTTTCAGCAAGACTTGGATAGTGTTGCTAAACTGTACTCAGCAAAACTCTGATGTACAAAGAAGCCCCTGATATCTTAAGCTCTTCTCCAAAAAAAGAAGCATCAGGGACAGGGATTAAGAGGGATGCTACCAACTATCTACCAACAAACCAAATTTAGACCTCTGAATGTGCAATAAGATCTTCACCTTCAGGTGCGTCCGATCCCGCCGCTGCCACCGTTTGGCCTGGATCTTTCCCCAGGCTCCTGTGTTCGTACATGTGTATTTTGATCTGCATCATGTCCTTGGTGCTGAAGCTACACTTGTCACAGGAGAAGCTGAAGTCCATCTCATCCAGGAGGCTGGGATCCATGCTTGCCGAACTGGAGTGGGTCGTCTTGTGGATCAACTTGGAGAGTTGTATTAATGTCGACTAGCTGTTACAAAGACACATTTTCACAAAATTAAAAGTCTGTTATAAAATGTTAAAGTAATCTTTTGTTGATAATGTTGATTATGCAAGAGGGGTGTAACCCCCCCCCCCTTTCATTCACCCATCCCGTCCGTTTGTTAATAATTTTTGCCCCAGCCCACTTTTGGATCACATACTTCTACATAAATGCACCCCCTCCCTCTTTTCAGAAATTTTCGGCACAGATAATGTCGATAGATTTATGGAAATAAAGGCTGTAAAAACTAAAAAATGTAGTAACTATAGATCACACATTTTCATTTTTTTCTGCAGTATTGCGCATTAACAAATCTGTACTTTATGCACATTATCACCATTTCATAAATGCCATAAATTTTTGGGTCAGTAGGCCTATATTAAATTTAGGTAAAAGTAGCACCCCTATCACCTGAATCAAGAGCAGATATAGAGAGAGGCGCAGCAATTAGGCAGGTCCCCCTCCCCCCTTTTCAATTTATTTTATTTTATTTTGTTTAGGAGGTTCAAATGGATGGATTTGGGGGGTTGGTTATAATATATATAGTAAATATTGTTACACCGACTATTTTTACGTTTTGGGTTCGTAGATGCTATAAAAACGTAGAAAAACAGTCATTTTCCTGTAGTCTGGCTCCCCGACTCCATTTAAAATGAAACGGAGCAATTTACAGACGTTGGGGAATTGTAAGGTCAGGGAACCAGTCTAGCTTGCTTGTACCCGTTCATAGGTGTGTAATCGATTGCAAACAAAACCGGACTAACTATACGGTCAATTGGGGTCAGTATTTAAAAAAAGCTAGTTTTTTTTCAACACTAGTCCGCTGACCAGTGTTGGAAATTGATACGAAAATTGGTTCTTGAAAATGACAGTTTACCAGGTGCCATGATTTTTTTTACAGGATGCTTTAGACGGTCAATCACTAACAATTTAGCAAGGTATTTCAAAATAATTTGGTAACTTTTATATATTTTTTGATGTTTGCAAATGTTGTATTTTCCCTTTAAAGACAGAAATATCCACCCACATGAGGAAATCGGGCACCATGAAGTGATGTATGGTCTATGAAATGTGTGCAAAATACATCACTTAGTGGTGCGACCGACGAAATATCCCACATGTAAACTTGTATGTTCTGGGTTTCGTCTAAATTATGGGCAGGCCCGCTTCCGCAACTGCTACTGTGAATTATGATATCTGCAATTTTTGATATTTTTATTCACAATATTCCCCAATAAATTTATGTATTTTGTTTGTGCCCTGTTTTGAGTCTTATTAAAGTTGCTGTTCTTCACTATGCAAATCTCAGTACATGTACATGCCTACAAATACAATAAGCTTTTTACTTTGACCCGGGCAGGTTAACTATTTTTGCTATTGTTTGATCAATTTAAATTAAACTGTCATTTTTTTCTGTTTTCTAAATAATTTTAAACTAAAGTTCATTTGCTTTTCCTTCTTGTTTATTTGTTTATTCACCTTTTTCCATTTTTACCATAAAGTATTAAATGAACGATTGTTTTCTGTGACATGATCACCAACCCCTGCAAGCGGACCGAGGGAGGTTGGACTACCTCCAGGGTCCGAATACGAATGTAACCGGTAAACTGTGTGCCAAACACGGCGCGCGTACACACAACCCGCGCGACCTCTGTATCCACAAATCGCATACACGCATAGGGCCTATGCCTACATGCATTACATGTTCCATGTTCACACCACACCCATATTTTTCCCCGTACAAAAACACACCAGCTTTCATCCCCAAAAACGCAATCATGCCAATATAAACATCCACCAATAATTGCATTAACAAACGAGCAAAACTTTAGGAAATTTCAATTCGGATTTCAGCATAGAAATCGGAACTAGAAACATCGGTTTTTCCGACATGGCCTTTATTTGCATGTCCCCAGGAAAAATATCAACGGAGGGCGTCGACAAGAAAAATGCGGGTCTACTCCAAGATCAATCATCAAAAATACCGCCTTAATTTTGCAATTCCTCGTCAAAATTTTAGCTCTAAATGAAAAAAAGATTATCAGGTTTGAAAAATAAATGAAAAGTGTAAACAAAGTACCACGTATTACGGCAAAATCTGAGAGCAATTCTTACCAATTTTTTTGACCAGGGAAACAAGATTTCATTCTACAGAGTCCGCCATGACAGTTCGCAGTTCTTTAAACTGAACACTGAGGGCGCTATAGCACTTTGTCTCCTGTCTCAATTTTTTTGTTGGTGTGTATTTTGATGACAAAAACTAAAAGTACATGCACATTTTTTTTTTTTACATTTTTTTTTAGAGACTATAAATAATTAAGACAGTTCCTGCTCTTGGTTGACAATGGATCTCATTCCAGGGACAATTATTTCAGGAAACTGCTATAATACAAATATATATTTCAACTTTCAAAGCCGTTATTCTGAAATTACAAAATTAATAAATGACTATAAAACATATCACAAAGATAGTTGCTATTGGGAGGTTTTATTCGGTGGAAAAAAGTCACAAATTACATTTGATTTTTATCATGATTAAAAAAAAAAAAAGTATTACTATAAAAGTTCTATGGAAAAACACTGGGCGGATCCTATAGGAAAATTACAAGAAAACAGATTGCTGGCTTCCATTATAAATTTGGATTTCTCGCGGCCCATTCTGTTTTACACGCTACAAATAATTTGAAGCACAATATGATTTATATTCAAGACTTTAAGTGGAAGTCCAGAGCTGGAGTAAAAATACAACATCCTCTTTTTTCCTCAATAAGCACGAATTGTTGATAAATTAACTTTTGGAAATAGACATTTTCCAGTTCTGAAATCTCCACCATGTTGGATAGACATTTTTGGAGTAGAGAATCAACGCCCAATATGTCAGCTTGAAAATACACAAGAACGATGACCCCCCCCCCCCCCCCCCAACATAAGTCTTATAACATTCTCGCTAACCCCCACCCAAACAGCTCTTGCCAGTGGCATGAAGGGCATGAAGGCCATGTCAGCCTAGTGGGCCGGGGGGAGGGGGGGGGGAGGATACGACCAACAATCCTAAAATTACTTTTCTCATCCTTACAATACTCGGGGGTGTGAGTGACCGCTGAAAAAAATAGCTGAAAACAGCCGAAAAAGGTGTAAAAAAAGCTGAACTTTGGAAATCTCCTATACCTTTGTATACATCAAGTGAGGGGAAAAAGTAAAAATCCAGAACAAAAAAAAGCTGAAATCAGCTTTAAAGCTGAGATTTCACACCCCTGAATACTCTTGATGCCCTCCCTCCTTTTAGTTATCAACATCTATACTCTTACAGTGTTACATACTTTAATCAATTCTCTTTCAATTAATAATTTCCTGGTACCATTAGTATATTAATCGCCTGAGATAGCCACAGATATTGCATAAACATATGAGGAAGGGGAGGGGGGGGGGGTCGACCACACACATTAAGTGGTAGTGTTTTCCTAAAATTTGCAGACTGCCAAATGTCCATAAAAAAAAACAGATTAGGCCAAAAAAAAAAGTCTCCGGTTTCTGGTATGCGCGCGCGTCGCCGTAGCCATGCGCGTCGGCAAAATGAAAAAGTTTTTTTTTCAATGAAAGATGATGTTTCAAAACCACCAAACTCACTGGTTTGACTGGAATCCTGCTGCTGCGCAATTTCAACGTGTTTTTAGATGGGGTTATGATCGAGAATAAGCTTTATGTGGCCTCTCTGGACTCCCATATATTTGCACTAAGTTTAGTCGGGCACCATTTGCAGTCATCAGCCGACATTTGAAGCAAAAAAGTCGGGTAAAAAAAAAATAAAAAGCCGTGTCGCCGCACCACTTTTTGGACAAGCTGCATACCAGAAACCGGAGACTTTTTTTTTTTGGCCTTAGGGAAGGGGGAACTGGACATGACATATTACCAGGTGTGCAGACTGGACACCAGCTGACACCTGGTGGCGCTGTTCATGACGGCCTCTTTTTGCTCGACAGTTACACAATTTTGCCAACAAGAACAATTTGACACATAGGGATGTATAGGTAGGGGAGTAAAGCCACACCCACTCCTGAATGAAGCTATCCGCAGCATTTACAAAAAGACACCCCCCCCCCTTTAAAAACTCTAGCACCCCCCCTTATTTTTTCGAATAAGAAATTTTTCCTAGCATAAGGCCAAAAAAACAATAAGTCGGTCTCTGGTCAGCGCGCGCGTCAATCTTTTTTTTTCCAAAATGTTCGGCAGTAGCTCCAACAGCGCCCTCTATTTCCGCACCTCCTCAATTTTTTTTACCAAAGAGCACCAAGGAATGGGAAATTGCACCAAGGCAAATGATCGAAAACACCAAGGCAAATATGGAGGACACCAATGTACATGACACCAAAAAAGCAAAATAGTACCCACCTTGTCTGTACAATCCAAGCTTGGAAAAAAGAAAAAAAAAGAAAAAGAAAAAAAAAAAAAAAGCCGCGTGGCCGCGTCAATTCCGGAATTTTGATCTAAACAGAGACCGAATATTTTTTTTTTTGGCCTAAGCCACAAGAATTTTCTTAAGCCAACAAATGCCGTGCACCCATTATCCTGCAGCATTTTTTTAAATCACACCCCCTTGAAATTCTAGCTCCGCCCCTCAACATCTACCCCCCCCCCAAAAAAAATAATCAAACCCCTCCCCCTTACAAATCTAGCTCCTCCCCTGCACATCTAAAAACACTTATTTATTTCGTTTGAATATCTTCCGAGCGTAAGCCACGAACATTTCCTTGGGTAGGTGCCCGCTGTGCGTATCGATCGAGGTCATGAGATCTTGGTAGCTACTCTCCTCGTAGTTCTTGTACACCGTCTCCAGGTCGAGATCCTTGTACAGCCTCTTCACCATGGCAACCTTGGCCGGGTTATCAATGCCGTAGTTTTCCTTCAAGCAAAATTAAGAAGAAAACGTTTAAAGCTACAGTCCATCATTTGCAGCTTTCCAAAAAAGTAACTGATGTAATTATTGTTGAAAAACATACTTGGTTGAAAGATAGCAAGGGGACTAAACTCCCTGTGAAATTATTCTTTCTGGCATGCTGTCATTTTGAAGAAATCAACGAAAGACTGCCTTTCCAACGATGGGTCTTAAGACGCATCGTTGGATCAACAAGCGCGGACACGACGCATACGCGTTGCTTTAATTTGTCAGAACAGTGGGCAACATCGCGTAGCTGCAATCGGCTCAGTGAGAACGTGTCTCGGACACTGAATTCAGGTCCAATTCAAAACATGATTCAGCAACTTTTGATTTGAAATCGAGATCCTAGAATGTTGTTTTTCTCGAGATATACAGTTCAGAACCCTTCTTTAGATTTTGAGTGCATTTTGTTGCTTCAAACGAACAAAAAGGCACAAATTACAAATGATGGACTGTACCTTTAAATAAAGTACGTGAACGAAACTGATTCGTGTTCTTTTTCTGAGTTGAATATATGGGTCAAGTTGCATTCCACATGCTCTTCAACAAATTAGATTTTTTTTTGGTCGAACAAAATGTTATCAGTCATATGTTTTACTTTTATTTCCAACCAGAAAGCTCCTATTTTTTTTGGGGGGGGGGGGTCAATGGGAAAGGGGAATAACTAAACATGGGTCATTAATTTTTTTTTTTCCTGTCAATAACTTAAAGTGTGGGGGTTCCGATCGTATGAAGTCAAAGTACCGCATGAACATCTACTAACTCTGCGATTGCCCTATAGCCAAACATCTTAATGTAACATTCTAACAACGTGTCACACTTCATGTTTTAGTTTTTAAAGGGGGGGTTCCCCTTTTCAACGTTTAGGGCCCGTTTCAATTCATATCTGGGACGAGTTCTGGACAAGTTGTGATTAGAATCATTCACTTTGTCTGGAAGAAGCTCTGCATTTGTCCCGGACATGTTCCGGGGAAAATTTTCCTCAGCAACGGCTTGACTCATCAATACTGAAAAACTTCGTTGCGGGAAGATTGCGGGGAAGTTGTTCAGAAGATTGCGGGGAAGTTGTTCAGAATCCTGCAACTTATACCCGATACAATGTCCACAACTTGTCTGGAACTCGTCCCGGATGTTAACCGAGATGGGCCCTTACCTCTAAAATTTCTCGCTGCTCTGGAGTTGCCGACTTGAGCGCCTGGACGACCAACCAACTGCATTTGTTCTCTTCAATATCCGTTCCTATCTTCCCTATCACCTCCGGGTTGCCATAGCAATCAAGGAAGTCGTCCTGGCAACAATGAAAACACAAAAATGAAGGACAATTTTATGATAATAATTGTGCTTATATAGCGCTTTCCATCGTATCAACGATCTCAAAGCGCTTTACAACTATTACCCCGTTCATCAGGCCATGGGACCACACGGCAGCCGATATCAGCGCTCAATCGGTCCTCGACCCTCACAGGTACCCAGTTATACTCCTGGGTGGAGAGAGGCAATTGTAGTTAAGTGTCTTGCCCAAGGGCACAAACACCATGTTCCTGGCCGGGTTTGAACCCACGCACCTTCGTACATGAGTCGAACACCGTAACCACTGGACCATGGCGTTCTACTTTTATCATTTTTATGCAGAAGTACTTAAACACAGCAGGCTAGAAAGTGGAGTCAAGTCTTGCATACAGTTTGCAATAAACAAAAAAAAAACACTTTTGGTGTATGAAATTGAAATACTCCTGGCTGAAACATTGGATTTAAACAAATGAGCCGAAAAGTTAGCAAACCTGAACTTGGAAAAAGTGTCCCATCTGTAGCAGGATGGTCTTGGCGTTCTTGTGCGACTCCGGGTCCGAGATGCCAACCTGTGAAGAATGCCAGAACGGCAGAAAAGTTACTCTGACTTCAAAGGGAAAATACAACATTTGCAAACATCAACAAATAAAACTACCAAATCATTTTGAAATACCTTGCTGGACTGTTAGTGAATGACAGTGTAAAGCATCCTGTAAAATCATGGCACCTGGTATACTGTCATTTTCAAGAAAAGTGGTATTTTTGTAGGAATTTCCAACGCTGGTCGGCCGACCAGCGTTGAAAAAAAAACTGGCTTTTTTTCAAATACTGGCACCAATTGACCATCGCACTTGTTTGCAATCGATTACACACCTATGAACGGGTACAAGCCAGCTAGACTGGTTCCCTGACTTCTTATATGGAGTCAGGGAACCAGACTACAGGAAAATGATTGTTTTTCTTGGTTTTTATAGCATTTTCAAACCCAAAACCTAAAAAAAAGTCAGTGTAACTATATTTGCTATATATTTCCAACCCCCCAATTCCATCCATTTCTGAAAATTTCAGCAAAAGCAAATGATGTATATTCCCTTTAACACAAGTGACCAATAACATTAACCCTTTTACCACAAAAATTGACCAGAAGTTGGAAACTCTCTTTTTATCAAAGTAGGTTTTCGCTATCAAGGATTGATTAAAATCAAAAGAGCTGTGTGTAAAGTGTGTTCTCTGAACTTTACTCTTTCACGTGACGTAAAAATCGAGGCTAAATGTGCAAAAATAAGCCGGTCCCATTTATCAAACTGCAAGCCATTTCACCACATGACCAAGAGGCACTCCATACCTCAAATTGTGCGTGGATACTTCTGAAGCAGTTTTCTGCTTTTTTTTGTAAGGGTAACATTATGAATGAAGTACACCATTAGAACAATCCACAAACACTCTTTCAGCTGGTATATGGTCGATGTATGGGCGGCAAAACACACCAACATGCCAGCTCGTTGCAAAGCAGTGAATATCTCCGTTGTGAGCGTGTCTTGTGTGTGGTTTTGAAATCGACTAAAAGTCTCCTTCAGTGAGCATATTTCATTGCACAAATGCAAACAGCAGTGCTCACTATTTGAAATGAATTCCAAGTAGCGCAATGTTGCCGTCTTTATTGCTTATGGTCTCAATGAATCTGAAGCTCAATATACATAAATTGCAGTGCTTGAAAAGAAAGACTTCGCTGAGCAGGAATTTAACTAGTTTACTCACAAGTAAACTGAAATAAAAGGGGAAAAAACATAACACAAAAAAAACCATAATAAACTCACCATATACATGGCCAAGGCTACTGGCAGATAGAAAGAATAAAAAGCCGTCTTCCATTTAACGATTGCATCATATCTAAAAATAGAAACATTTGAATCATTATTTGTTGTTCATAAATACCCAAGACAGTTTACCCATTCCCATTTGTCGAGAGCCCGTCACGTGGCCGGTCTTAAACGGATGATAAAGACATGGCTGGCCGGTCTTAAACACTTTTTTCCAGTGTCACAATTGGTCCAGCCTAAGACCTTGACACGGTGCATCCTCCGAATTCAGCCACACACTTTTGCCATATAACCTCAATCCTGCAAAATCGTCCATTTTGCAAAGAGCATTTTAGAGCATTTGAGAAGGTTATAGGGTTAAAGGGAATGTACAACATTTGCTTTTGCTGCAATTTTCAGAAATAAATGGATTTGGGGGATTAGAATGTTATAGCAAATATTGTTAAACTGACTTGTTTCACGTTTTGGGGTTGTAGATGCGGGAAAAACCAAGAAAACCAATCATGTTCTTGTAGTCTGGTTCCCTGACTCCACTTAAGATGAAACGGAGCAATTTATAGACTTTGGGGAATTGTAAGTTCAAAGAATCAGTCTAGCTGGCTTGTACCCCTTCACAGGTGTGTAATCAACTGCAAAGAAAATGCGGAATAACTTAATATAAAAAATTTGGAGCAGTTTTTGAAAAAAAGCCAGTTTTCTCCAACGCTGGTCGGCCGACCAGCGTTGGAAAAATACAGTTTTTCTTGAAAATGTCAGCACAACAGGAGCCACGATTTTGCAGGATGCTTCAGACTGTCATTCCTTAACAATCCAGTAAGGTATTTCATGATAATTTGATCATTTCATTTTTTTGATGTTTGCAAATGTTGTATCTTCCCTTTAAGGTGGATTTATTATTATAATAGTCTCTTTGTTACGTACCTTTGTTGTGTGAACCTGTTGAGATCTTTGTTGCCCTCGGGCGATGTGATCAGGTCCAGGGACTGCCCTACCACCGTCTGATAGTTTGTCTGGAGGATCGACACAGAAATCTCAGGATTAACTTCAATTTGTGAACTATTAGGTACTCAAGGCACTGGAAATTATGTCTATTTTTAAAGACAGGCAAATGAAGTTTATGAGAAATATGAAACCATTATAATGTAACACCTTTATAAGGGTTTACAAGGTGCTGCGGCGCATATTGCAGCTACTTGTTTGTGCCTGAAACACCGGGGCATACCCCTTTTCTTAGTGATAGGTTTTACTGGGTTCCTAACGCTTTACCCATCCGAAGGACGAAGCAATAATGGTAAAGTGCCTTGCTCAAGAGCACAAGCACCATGTTCCCCGTCAGGATTTGAACCCACATACCATAGCGCACGAGTCGAACATCTTAACCATTGAACCACAGCACCCCAAAAACAGGTACATTGTAGTTACCGTATTTTTGTAACTCAAAGTTGCATCAGCAGAATGCTTGATATGGAGCTTGACATTTTTTCACCTTGCACATCAGGGATCACATGATGGTACAAAGTATCTAGGGCTGTCTCGTAATATACCGAATACTGCAGTAACTTTTTGCCAGTTTGAATATTAGAAAAAAAAACATTAATAAAAAGTATACACGTACACGAACGACTGTGATGTTATTTAAACTGTAAAGTTACGGCGCTTCATGGTCAGGTGCCAATTTGTTGGTTGATCGTAACTTTTTTGGTTAACCGTAACTTTTTTGGTTAACCGTAATTTTTTTGTTAACCGTAACGTTTTTGTTAACCGTAACGTTTTTGTTAACCGTAACGTTTTTGTTAACCGTAACTTTTTGTTAACCGTAACTTTTTGTTAACCGTAACTTTTTTTGTTAACCGTAACTTTTTTGTTAACCATAACATTTTTGTTAACCGTAACTTTTTGTTAACCATAACGTTTTTGTTGACCGTAACGTTTTGTTAACCGTAACGTTTTTGTTAACCATAACTTGTTTGTTAACCGTAACTTTTTCTGTCCTCACCTCGTGGAATAGTTCCAAGACATTAACGTAGTACGGTTCCCCCGCTATGTGCTTCTTTAACAACTTATAGATGCCAGATTCAACAAAGAACGAGTCGTTAATCGCATCCAGGCCAACGTCAGCCTGAAAGATGTCAACAAAAACAAACAATCTGAAAAATTCAAATACTAGAGCTGTAGGACGTGAGCAATTTGTGGTGTTGATAAAGTTATGTGGAAAGACGGTTATGGATTCAGCTTTGTGATAAGAAGACATCTGTGTAAGTACAGGGGCGGATCTGTTTTTCAGGAAACGGTGGGGGAAGGGGGGAGGGGGGAGTGGTGATATGAAAGGGGGTGGGGTTGAGGGTTGAATGAAGGCGTGCCAGAGGTGTGAATCGAGGATGCTGTCTTCTCCATTCTAAGGCAATTTCAGAATAAATTTCGGAATTAGCATTCCATTCATTATTTTTGTCCCCATCAATGGCTGAACGGATAGGGGATGCAACCCCCCAAATTTCCACTTCAGATCCGCCACTAGTGAAGGATTTTTAATTTTTTAATCTGGCCCTTCAAGAAATTCCAAATTCTACAAGAGCGTTACTATATGCTGCAATAGATTGTTTATGAATCCTCCATGCCAAATGACAGGATTTTTGTCAAGTTTTCTTGATTGACTACCGGAATTCAAAAAGAAATTTCTTACTTTGCGAAACCAGCACGGCTGACCACGCCTCGTCTTAGACTGGTCCATGATGTCGTCCGAGATCAGGAAGTATGCTTGCAGCTGGGAAAAAAAATTAAGAAAGTTTGACATCTCGATGAATGGAGCAAGCAGTTGTCAAACCTAGGCCTTCCCGTCAGGCTTCAGGCTTCAGCATAATTTTAAGGCCAGTTACTTTTGGGATTTTGGCGATTCCAGCTAAATAAAGGTGCATTTGCTTCGGAAACATCAAAACCTGACACATAAGGACGCAGGTTAGGAAAATTCCTATTATGCTAGAGTATTTAAAGGCTTCTCAAAATGTCTGGAGATAGAGGTGTAGCCAAAGCTGCAGACAAAGTCAGGATTTGGGAAACCTTTATAAATGGTCTTTGCGCTTGAAACTTTGAGTTGAAATCTTATGCGCATGGCAGCCATCATTGGCTTTTTGGGGGGGGGGGGCTCTTTTTTTTTGGAGGGGCGGTATTTTTAATTTGTAACAAAGAACATAACAGAATTTATACTCATGGCTATCCTTACAGAAGGAAAACAGTGCCCCTAGGCTTGATACAAAATGTAAAAACAAACAGCTCTCTATACTCATTATGGCTGGGAAAAACAGTACGAAATGCAACAAAACCCCGCAAAACCACAGGCAGCATTTTGGAGGATTTGTGTCTGGTATCAAAATTAGGAAACAGCGAATATTCAAAGTGGATTTTGGAGTTGGAATGGCTGTCCAATGAATAATTCCGACTTATAGGCCTAAGTGCTCAACAAACAAAGACAATGTAAGGTCGGAGACACGCAACTTAATACGAGTTAATAGATAGCTCAGTTGGTAGAGCACCCATTTCTGTCCATTTTTGTTGTTTAAACTTTGAAAACGTACCCACTCCACGCACCATCCCAGCACCATAGCCTTGAATACATTGGCGTCGGTGGCCTGCGAAGGACTGGCGAGGAACCGGAAGGACGCCACCGTCGTCAGGCCCCGGTTGCGCTTGCCGTGTGGAATATTGTATTTCATCATCTGCGGGAAGGAAATGAATAAACGGTTTTTGTAGCTGCGGCCGATGAGCAGCTCTATAAGTATCGGCCGATCAGCGTTGGAAAAAACTGGCTTTTTTTCAAATACTGGCCGCAGTTGACCATCGCACTTGTTTGCAATCGATTACACACCTATGAACGGGTACAAGCCAGCCAGACTGGTTCCCTAACCTTACAATTCCCCAATATATGTAAACTGCTCTGTTTCTTCTTAAATGGAGTCAGGGAACCAGACTACAGGAAAATGATTGTTTTTCTTGGTTTTTATAGCATTTTCGAACCCAAAACCTCAAAAAAGTCAGTGTAACTATATTTGCTATATATTTCCAACCCCCCAATTCCATCCATTTCTGAAAATTACAACGAAAGCAAATGATGTATATATTCCCTTTAACTATTACCAGTATGAACCAGACTTGTGATTTACTTGTGATGGCCTAAACTACAAGACTGCAAACCTCATCTACACTGAATCTCCAACTCACTTTCTCAAACCGGAGCGCCGCGTCTCTGATCTCCGGATTGGCAGCGTCATCTTCGGTGATGTCTCGCACGAGGTCCTGGAAGACGTCGTTGAATCGATCAGCGTCACCTTTGCTGTACTCCGCCATCGTGTAACTATAGATGTCAACAGTGGGGTTGGGGGTCAAGGGGGTAGACAAAACGGTGAAATTTTGTTTAAAAAATACTCAGTATTCTGTCGATTCAACGATCCAATCCTTAACTGTAATTTGCAACAGTCCAGGAACAAAATGGTCTTTAGTCAAGCCTAGATACCAGCACATAACACCTAGCACTGCTCTCTTCACACACATTCCACACACACAAAACCAAATAGTGCCTTTTTTTTCGTACCAGCAAATAAAACAGGAAATCATTTATACTGGTACTTATCGGAACAGTTGCATATTTAAGGGAAGATACAACATTTGCAAACATCAAGAAACGAAATGATCAAATTATAACAAAATATCTTACTGGACTGTAGTGTTAGTGAATGATCGTTTAAAGCAAACTGTAAAATTGTGCCTCCTTGTGTGCTGACATTTTCAAGAAAACTTGTATATTTCCAACGCTGGTCGGCCGACCATCGTTGGAGAAAACTGGCTTTTTTTCAAAAACTGCAAATTTTTCATCTTTAGTCATTCTGCATTAACTTTGCAAGGGTACAAGCCTGCTAGGCTGATTCTCTCACCTTACAATTCCCAATGTCTATAAGTTGCAACGTCTCATCTTAAGTGGGGTCAGAGAACCAGACTACAAGAATATGGTTGGTTTTCTAGGATTTTCCAGCATCTCCGAATTCAAAACGTGAAACAAGCTAGTTTAACAATATTTTCTATAACATACTAATCCTCCAAATTCATTTATTTTTGAAAATTGCAGCAAAAGCAAATGTTGTACATTCCCTTTATTTGGGCATTTTACAAAAGAGAATATCAGTCCACAATTTTTCAAAGTGTCTTCGTTAAATTAGCAAAGTTGACAAAGAGCAATAGGCCTATGTCATGTGAAGACAGCGAAATTTGGTCAGCGCCAGTTTTCATCTTAATAATGTTAGTTTGTTAGAGGTCGTCTTTCACTCCTCCAGCAATCAAGCTTTTGCTTAAAAAAAAAATTTCAGCACAGCCGATATGACACAATTATATAGCAGCCAATCAGAGAATTAGCTTTTGTGAAATAAAACTTGAAGATGCATTCTTTCCAGTAAGAAACCAACGCCGGCCAATATTCACTGCCGGAAAACATAAGGCCAAAAAAATAGTTCTGCTTCCGGTTTCCCTACCTACCCTATTCTGACAGCCCCTACCCTAATTTTTTTATGGGAAAAATGAGAAAAAACCGAAGAGGCTATCGTTACGGCAGTCGTTGTTTAGCGCCCTCTACGATACTTTTTTGATACGCACGCAGCTATATAATTATTTGTTTCCACACATTTTAGCGAGTAGTGCGACAGCTCAGTCGATAGAGGGTAGAATTTTGCACCGCGAGGTTCAGGGTTCGAATCTCAGTTTTGCACTCGAATTGTTTTCTAACCTGAGGCTTTGGAGAATTTTTTTAAAAGGGAAATAAAGTCTGAATTTCATTACGTTCAAATTCACTTTTTTCCTTCTAATTTTATATTTTCTTGTCATGTTTGTATAAAAGTTGCAGTCTACCGTAACGATAGAAAATGGGAAATGGCTGCCGTAACAATAGCCACTGCGGCAAAAAAAACACCCAAAACCATCAATTTCTACATTTTACCCAATACATGCAGATGTGGCCAAAAAAAAAATTGGCAAAAACAAAAATTCCCTACCTACCTACCTACATGTCCTAGGACTACCCTTTTTTCAAATGCCATGAATCAGAAGCAGAACTCTTTTTTTGTACCTAAATAATTTGAATTTTATTTAAATAACCTAGTTATGCAATCAATAAAAAATACAAAACCATTTTAACTGGATCACATTGATTGAGATACGACATTGATTGATTGATGATGCATGACATGCATGATGGTGACTTTGGTCTTTTAAGTTCAGAATCAGAATTTAAAAAAAAAACCAAGATCAAATTTGCATACTTACATTAATGAATGGTGTTTGATTCCTCCTAGGGACTTTCACTATTTCAGACTTTGCACCGCTAACTAGGCCAATGTCTGAATGTCATGTACATGTAGGGGCCTACTTGAAAAACTATTGATTGACTTTATGCATAATCCCGATCACAGTACAGTCATGACTGCATCACAACTGACCAGCCAAATGTTGTTCTTGTCAACTACCGGTCAGTCACTCAATTAAGGTGGATAGAAATAGAATAAATGGAATAGATGAGAGCTAGCTAGGCGTTCATTCCTATTCTACTCCGAGTCCTAGTGTACAACTACAAGCCCAATTTAGCTTACAAAAGATAAAATTTATTCGACATTTACCAGCATCTTGTGCGGTCAAATCCGGCGCTATTAATATTAATTCGGTGCCGAAGGGTCAGAGCAGAATGCTGATTGACAGCCGATATGGCTCGAGACTCGATCCTGATTGGATGGCGATTCAACTCAACCCATGAGGTGATTTTAGCCGAGAAATCACGCCTCGTTGTCAACAGAATCGGCTCCAAAATTATCCGCAGTTTGTGACCCAGCATCAAAATAGCTGGCGGTGTTTGCTGATGACACTCCGATTGAATTGTTCTATGACCGCTGGTCGGCGATCAGATAAGATTATGAGATATTTTGAGTCGTTTCAAAGAGCGAAGTGGTTATTTTTAGACAAGTGGTTTTCTGAAGTGCAGCGGCGTGGGCGCGGCCATCTTTGCTTTAACACAATATGAATATTCAGTAGTTATATCAGTGACCTGACGCCGGGTGAAAAAAAGGGGCGGGATTTACTGAACTCGGAAATAAAGTTCACTTCACCATCTTGTAGTTGAGGGTTATGGCGTGTCAAACGTTGCAATATTCAATATTTTGCAATATATATGTTGGATGTTCATTAAGTGTTTGTTATCTTTTTCATTTATGTGCGATGTTCAATATAAGTGTGCGATGTTTTTCATTATTTGTGCGATGTTTAATATATTTGTGCGATGTTTTACAATATAATGCGATGTTCAATATTTGTGTGCGATGTTTTACATTTATATGCGATTTTCAATTTATATGTGCGCGCGGATGTTTTTGACGATATATATGTGCGATGTTTTCAATATTATGTTCGATTTTTTTGCATTGAATGTGCGAATGTGCTATGTTTTCGATACAATTATGTGTGTTGTTTTACAATATATTTGCGATATTCTCAAATATGTGAGCAATGTTTTACACATATGTTTGACATTACGAGCTATTTGTATTCGATGTTTCATCGGTAAGTTTGCATTCGATCTTTTGCATTATGCATTTGATGTTTCCGTTTTCATTCGATGTTTCGTTAAGAGTCAAAGTCTGGTTACTAGACCGCGAAAGTCTGACTATTTTGACTAAAGTCAGTGTATGAGACGTCAGGGGGGATCGCGTGAAGTAATTAGAGCCAGACCTAAACGGTAAAAACCTGAATTGTGGGTAATTCTTTAAGCATACGCAATGCGTTCACCATTGATTGGGCAGTATGTACCCCCCCCCCCCAGCTGTACCTGTACTACGTGTTGCCTGTGCATCATCTATGCATTGAGGAGTGTATGACACATGGTCTGAGCTCCAAGGCCGATGTGCACCTGTCCCAGTTACCTGATAATTTGTTAGCATATCAGCTGATGTAAAATTGGCCAAAATTAGATGTTTATGAAAAACAATTAAATTGTAAGGGGTTAACCTTGCATTTTTTTTAAAGCAAAATCGGGAAAAATGTTTCTGGAAACTAATTGCAGATTGTATGGAGTTAGATGTTTATGAAACATTTCAAATTGTAAGGGATGAACATTGCATATTTTAGCGAAATTGGGCAAAATCAGATGTTTCCGAAAAATTTCAGATGTAAGGGATAACCTTGCTTGTTTAGTGAAATTTTGCAAGGTTAGATGTTACGAAAAATTCGGTCTATCGGGGGGACGATCCTTATTGCAACTCCCGGAGATTCGCTGACAGTCTCTATTTTTCTTTTTAAGAAAGTCGAAATAGCTGAAGAGGGAGGTGAGAATCTATTGTGCCCAGATACAAAGAGTAGAAATCTACGCGTCTGTCTTTTGAAAATACACAATTGCGGTGTTCATTGTTGCGTAATGATCCGCCTAGCACACGACTGTTTTGCACATTAGGCTGTGTTATGCAGCTTCCTAACAAACCAAACACACTGGGCTCATTATATCGACTTGTTTTTACCCATTAAGGTAAAGCAAATGGACCCAGTAATCTTCCTGGCGCGTTTGCTCACCTATAAAGACAACTTTTCTCAGTTTAAAGAAAATTCTTAGGTAACGAAATGGCCGAGTGGTTACGATTCGTCGTACACAATTAGCGGGTCCCGGGTTCGAATCCCGCTGGTGTCTTTTTGGTTTTTAACGTATGAGTTCAATCATTTACTATAAGAGATTTAATTTCCCGTCGTAAAGTACCAACAGTACCTTAGCTTAATCGGTAAGCACTGCTGCTGGTACTGTCCGCGAGTTCCAGGTTGGCGCCTTCGTACAGGTTCAGGGCATGTGGTCCACTCGGAGGATCAGGGCTTAGGGGCCGCCCTGTTCCTCCCTTAGCTCTTTGCTTTTACATGGTGCCTGGCCCTCCGGGGTTATATGGATGGATAGGGAAGGAAGTGTGTATTGGTCGGGGACGCCGAGACCCCGGAAGAGAACTAAGGGATCGGCTGGGGCATTGTTATGGCTCAGACCGATCCCTGAAAGCTTGACTAGCACATAACTTTTTGATTTTTTTTAACCCTCTATCTTCAATACTTTGGTTTAGTTTGATATCTACAGCTGCTCGGCAGGTCTACGGGTAGTATCAAAATTGAAACAAAGGTGTATGTCATAATTCATAATTGGCTATAATCAAAACGGAGTTTCGTTTGATCAATTTGACTATCACTATATAATGGCGCGATTGCCAATTGATGTAAGAAACGCCATAAATTATACCGGGAAAGAATAAAGATGTACATTGTAATAAAAATATTATTTATACATCTTTCTAATAACGTGTCTTTAATTGTGAGCATTCCAAACAATACAGTAATTCGAAATGGTATATAATAGCACGATCATTGCGTCTCTATTAAATTTAAAAAATATAATGTAGGCCCCTATGTGTGAAATATTCTTTGATTATGATCTTCCATACGAATGAGTTAATTCGCAAAATGTAGCAACAACAAAAGAGAAAGGAAAAAGAGAAAATTCCTTTACCCTAAAAATTTGAAATATAATTTGTTTTAAAAAAGTCAAATGGGACACTTCATGTATTGATTTACATTACATTTTTTGCAAAATTGGGAAAAATCAGATGCTTCTTGAAAATTGCAGATTGTATGGGGTTAGATGTTTATGAAACATTTCAAATTGTAAGGGGTGAACCTTGCATATTTTAGCGAAATTGGGCAAAATCAGATCTTTCTGGAAAATTTCAGATTGTAAGGGGTTAACCTTGCCTTTTTAGTGAAAATTTGGCAAAATAAGATGTGGATGAAAAATTTCAAATTGTAAGGGCTTAACCTTGTTTTTTAATTACAATTGGAAAAATTTAAATGTTTAAGAAAAATTTCAAATTGTCAAGGGTCATTTTTTAGCAAATTTTTTTAGCGAAATAGGGCAAAATCAGGTGTTTATGGAAAATTTCAGATTTTAAGGGGTTAACTTTGCATTTTTAGCAAAATTGGGCAAAGTCAGATTTGTATGAAAAATCAAAGGGGTTGAAAATTGAAGGGGTTAACCGTGCCAAATTAGGGCAAAATCAGATTTTTCTGTTAAATTGCAGATTGAAAGGGGTTAACTTTGCTTTTTTAGTGAAATTTGGCAAAGTTGGATGTTTATGAAAAATCTTAAATTGTAAGGGGTTAACCTTGCATTTTTTTAAACGAAAATGGGAAAAATCAGATGTTTCTGGAAAATTGCAGAATTGTATTGGGTTAACTTGGCATTTTTAGCAAAACTGGGCAATATCAGATTTTTATGAAAAATCTCGAATTGTAAGGGATGAACCTTGCATTTTTAGCAAAATTAGGCTAAATCAGATGTTTCTGAAAAATTTCAAATTGTTAGGGGTTAACTTTGCTTTTCGAATTATTTAGGGTTAACCTTTCATTTTTTAGCAAAATAGGGGAAAATCAGGTGTTTATGAAAAAAATCAGATTGTAATGGGATAACTTTGCATTTTTAGCAAAATTGGGCAAAGTCAGATTTGTATGAAAAATCAAAAATTGAAGGGGTTAACCGTGCCAAATTAGGGCAAAATCAGATGTTTCTGTTAAATTGCAGATTGAAAGGGGTTAACTTTGCTTTTTTAGTGAAATTTGGCAAAGTTGGACGTTTATGAAAAATCTTAAATTGTAAGGGGTTAACCTTGCATTTTTTTAAACGAAAATGGGAAAAATCAGATGTTTCTGGAAAATTGCAGAATTGTATTGGGTTAACTTGGCATTTTTAGCAAAACTGGGCAATATCAGATTTTTATGAAAAATCTCGAATTGTAAGGGATGAACCTTGCATTTTTAGCAAAATTAGGCTAAATCAGATGTTTCTGAAAAATTTCAAATTGTTAGGGGTTAACCTTGCTTTTCGAATTATTTGGGGTTAACCTTTCATTTTTTAGCAAAATAGGGAAAAATCAGGTGTTTATGAAAAAAATCAGATTGTAATGGGTTAACTTTGCATTTTTAGCAAAATTGGGCAAAGTCAGATTTGTATGAAAAATCAAAAATTGAAGGGGTTAACCGTGCCAAATTAGGGCAAAATCAGATGTTTCTGTTAAATTGCAGATTGAAAGGGGTTAACTTTGCTTTTTTAGTGGAATTTGGCAAAGTTGGACGTTTATGAAAACTCTTAAATTGTAAGGGGTTAACCTTGCATTTTTTTTTAACGAAAATGGGAAAAATCAGATGTTTCTGGAAAATTGCAGAATTGTATTAGGTTAACTTGGCATTTTTAGCAAAACTGGGCAATATCAGATTTTTATGAAAAATCTCGAATTGTAAGGGATGAACCTTGCATTTTTAGCAAAATTAGGCTAAATCAGATGTTTCTGAAAAATTTCAAATTGTTAGGGGTTAACCAATTGCTTTCCGAATTATTTGGGGTTAACCTTTCATTTGTTAGCAAAATAGGGAAAAATCAGGTGTTTATGAAAAAAATCAGATTGTAATGGGTTAACCTTGCATTTTTAGCAAAATTGGGCAAAGTCAGATATGTATGAAAAACCATAAATTGTAAGGGGTTAACCTTTTGCCAAATTAGGGCAAAATCAGAAGTTTCTAGAAAATTGCAGATTGAAAGGGGTTAACCTTGCATTTTTAGCAAAATTGGGCAAAATGAGATTTTTATGAAAAATTTCAAATTGTAAGGGGTTATAACCTTTGCCAAATTAGTGCAAAATCAGGTGTTTATGAAAAAAATTCAGATTGACAGGGGTTAACCTTGAATTTTTAGCAAAATTGGGCTAAATCAGATTTGTATGCAAATTAAAAATTGTAAGGGGTTAACCTTTGCCAAATTAGGGCAAAATCAAAAGTTTCTAGAAAATTGCAGATTGTAAGGGGTTAACCTTGCATTATACTTGGACGCAAAAGAGATAAAGGGGAAACAAATATTCTTGGTTCTTCGCTGCAGCCAAAAGCAGCTATTTATTAGACCAAAACTTCTTGAGATAACCAAACGATGGACCATCACTATGGTCCCTTAAACTTGTT